GTAATCGCTTGGGGTTTACATGTAACAGGAAAGGGTGTGGGGGGAGAAAATGGTATATTAAAGTATGGAATAATAATATTTGAAGGACGAATGAGAAGATGAAAGGTTCTCCGATGTGGGTAGTGTAGTAATAGGTCTACACCCAAGACGATCAGGTAGTAGTCATTGGAGATATAAAATAGTTATATATTGTCGGTATAGCAAAGTAGTGTAAAGACTACTACAACCAACAGTAATACAACACCTGTACTTTACAAACGATGGAATAACGGCTAACAATTATGTTTATTCTCGTAGCAAGATCATCTCAAACACAACGTAATAAACAAGATGTTGTATCAAGTTTTAACCAGAGTCAACCCAATCGTTACTTACGCTACCAAAATGTCTAATATCACAACAACCTACCATTCATTACAGCTGATAGAATCGAATTACTTAAATACAAACTAGCAGGTAAGTCATAGAGTCTCCTTGCTTGCTATTAATCAGTACTTTAACACCAATACCAGCATACTATGTATCAGCGTAACAATTCATCATCATCACCAGGTGCCTTGCCCACTGGCGTGGGCGATCATGCCTCTCAATAATCCACGATCTCCTGCAGCATGTATCAGTTCGTGTGCCGACACACCTCCATGCCATGCAACAAGACTGTCAAGAATCTTCTCTCGTTGTCTTCCTCTATCCCTCCTTCCACAGATCTTTCCAGTGGTCACAACATGTTCTTTTTTCCCTCTTCTCATAACATCGCCGAAAAATGATGACTTTCTCCTTCTGATGTCGCCTAACAATTACGACTACAAATCAGCCCACCGAGTCAAATCATGACCGAAACTGTCAGGCCACCAGACATTCAGAAAGGTTTTATGAATTCTCTGACTAGGCTCCTTAGTGCCATGGTCTCGACATCTTCACCAGACGGTTTCTTCACCCCAAATGTCGTTCTTGTGGTGTCAGTCCGAGCAAGTGTCCCCCTCACTGACATTTTGCCCAACCAGGACATCACACCGAGCGATATGCACCCGGTGCCACCATTCCAATGAGGACCATCCGTGGAGGGTTCCCAGAAACAACGTTAATTTTCTTCCGATTTTTCTTTGCGGGCTGTCCTCATTTCTTCAACAAGAAATGCCACACGTGTATTCTTTTATACAGGGAAGGGGAAGCCGTGTCATGAATATAAAATTTTACATATACATGATCTTCAGAGACCAGAAATAGTACATACTGGATAATACTTTTCATAATATTTATGGACAATATTAATAAAATAGACATAACACCAACAGCTGTCGATAAACAGGAGGACTTTAATGAGCTGCTCTTTGCCGACGATCAATGCATATTTCACAGTGATAGTAAACAGCTGCAAGACCACATAAACCTACTACACGACAGTTGCCTCAAGCATCATATGAAGATCAATACTGAAAAGACAGAAGTCATGAGCATAAGTAGAGAACAACAGACCATCGACATAAAGATTCTAGATCACAGCCTAAAACAAGTGCAAGAATTTAAATACTTGGGAAGTATCTTTACATCCAATGGTAAAATAGACAGAGAGATCGAAGCAAGAATCCAACAAGCCAACAATGTCGCATACCAGCTTGCCCCAATTTTAAAACACCCTGCTGTCCCAGCTGAGATAAAAAGACAAATTATAAATACAATCTTTATACCGACATTAGGTTATCAATGTCAGACTTGGACATTAACAAAAGAACACAAGAGATGACTAACCACCTGTGAAATGAGATGTTTGAGAATGGCTGCGAATAAAACCAGAAGAGATCGAGTGAGAAACGATGTGATTACAAGAACTATTGGAACCATACCCATCGTTAAATTTATTGAGAAGCAAAGAATGAAATGGTTTGGTCACCTAATGAGAATGGAACCAACGATGCCAGCATCAAGAGCATACAACATAAAAATCGAAACACCAAGAGGCAGGGGAAGACCAAGAAGAATACGGATTGAAGGAGTCACGGACAACTTGCGACTTCATAACATCACGGCATATGAAGCGACTGAGCGCGCCCTGGCTCGGTTGCCGATCATCTGATAGACTTCGACGCCTAGCGGCACAAGCAGATTTTGACAAAAGAAGAAGAAGAAGGATAAGATGTTGAGAGGAGAAGTGCAAATAAAGCTTAGAAGTACTAATATTTACATCTGTACATTGGTGGGTAAAGTTAAAAGTGTGTTAGTAGAGCAAGGTAGGGAGGAGAGCATGAAATTGGCCCAAAATGAAGTCATATTTCACAGTTTAAATGTTAGATTTACATGAACAATTAGAAAAATCACGCCAAAAATTGCACCCAACAAGGGGAACAACGAGTCTGCACTGTGTGTATACGAGATTTGCGCCCAATATATCCTTCTTCAAAGAATATTAGGCCTTGACCTTTCGCCCTAAATCTATGATGCTTTCTCCTCTGTACCCAAGTTCATTAACCTGTGTCTTTCCCGTCAATCATGCACATCTCACTGGGATGACCTCTGAGGTTAATACTCTCTGGAAAGAACCCAAACGTCATGTATAGGTAGGTGCCTTTGTTTACTGACGTGTTACCTCCCTTTCTCTGAATGTATAACTAGAACTTCCAACCTTTGTTAGCATTTCTTAGTCAGTCTCACGTATTTTGGTCAAGCTTCTCGGTCTTGACTCTAAGTAGCTTCTTGTAATAGTCTAACAGAAAATATCAATTCGTTGTGCAAGCTGACGGCCACATAACCGTTAACGAATTGAAAAACACCGGTATTCCTCCACAGGCTGTGGTGTTCTACTTCGAGCAACGAATCAACAATAGTGCCCAACCAGCACGGCAGGCCATCTATGCCTTCACACAGGAGTCTGCCTGCTTCATTCGTATGTCTACTTACGATATAACCAATGCCAGCAGGTTTAGGTGAGTACTGTAGACCAGTGTTCTCACGTCGGTGGGCCACAGGTGTCAACAGGTTTAGGCGAGTTCTGTATACCAGAGTTCTCACATCGGTGGGCCACGGGTGTCAGCAGGTTTAGGTGAGTACTGTTGACCAGTGTTCTCACAGCGGTGGGCCACAGGTGTCAACAGGTTTAGGTGAGTACTGTAGACCAGTGTTCTTACAACAGTGGGCCACGGGTGTCGGCAGGTTTAGGTGAGTACTATTGACCAGTGTTCTCATAGCGGTGGGCTACGGGTGTCAACAGGTTTAGGTGAGTACTGTAGACCAGAGTTCTCACAACGGTGGGCCACGGGTGTCAGCAGGTTTAGGTGAGTACTGTAGACCAGAGTTCTCACAGCGGTGGGCTACGGGTGTCAACAGGTTTAGGTGAGTACTGTAGACCAGAGTTCTCACAGCGGTGGGCCACGGGTGTCAACAGGTTTAGGTGAGTACTGTAGACCAGTGTTCTCACAACAGTGGGCCACGGGTGTCAGCATGTTTAGGTGAGTACTGTAGACCAGTGTTCTCATAGGGGTGGGCTACGGGTGTCAACAGGTTTAGGTGAGTACTGTAGACCAGAGTTCTCACATCGGTGGGCCACAGGTGTCAAAAGGTTTAGGAACACTGCTCTAGACAGACTGGTGGATGAATGGGTCGGTACGTGGTGGATATGTAGGTGGGCGGAGAATTTGTAGTGTGTGGTGAATATGTAGAATGGTGGTGGATAAGTGGACGGATTTGTTGGATGTGTAATGGTGGGTTTGGTGGAAAAAAGTTTTTGCTTATCAACTGATTGCCGTCCTATGCACAGGGGCAGATAGACGGACAGACAATCTGACAGACCGACACGCACGCAGACAGTTAGACAGACCGACAGACAGACATAGCGACAGATTTGTTTTACGCTACATATCAATCATTTCAACCACTTGAAATCCACAGTGTCACCCCAGAAGGCCTGCGGGCGCTAGAGACGCTGACGCTGGCGGAACTGTCAAACAGAGAAGAATGTGATGCTGTCTTTGAGCAAGTTGGGGAGGAGTTTTTCTCCTCACACTTGTCCACCGACCGATGTACCTTCGAAGTGTCCCCTCGTGTCATGGTGAGTTCACATGTTTTATTTGTTAAAGATAAGTCCAGACGTTTCGGTCATCTCGTTCGAATGCAGCTATAACAACTACAGTATACAATAGAGACACTGGATATAAGCTGGTCTGATGTGAGAGCAAAAGGATCACCTGCAAGTAATGTGGACTGATGACATTAAAAACAATCTACAACTACACTGAATGACCACGGCCAGTGAAAACTGTTCTTCGATGTGAAGCTTAATCGGAAACGTGAAGGTTGATTATGATAAGGAATTCAGTCTGTACTTTTGAGCAATTATGGCATCAACGTCATAATTTTTATTTCAGTACATCAATAAAAATGAGGAAAGATTAGAGGTTGTGGAACATTTTGAATATCTTGGGTCATTGATTACCAGTCCATGGTGACACAGTGAAAGAAATTAAATGACGACTATCAGTTGCTCTGCAAAGACTAAAACAACTGAAAAAAATTATGTGGTGGGACAGACAGAACTACAAAAATTAGATTTCTAATAGCGTGAATCTTTTCAATTGCAAAATACGCCTATGAGACCTGTACACTTACTAAACAAGCCGAACAGCGCATTAATGCCGTTGAATACAATTGTTTTAGAAAAGTTATAAGAATATCATAGGGGGGGGGGGAGGGGGGGATGCAGCCATATTTCAAGAGCTGAATATTGAAGAAGGTTGGCTATTTAAGACAAAACAGAAAATTTAGATATTTTGGTCACTTGAAACGTCACGAAAGTTTAGATAGAACAATAATGGAGGGGTATCTGCCTGGGAAGAGAGGAGATAGGTGCAGGACATGGCGGATGATATCCAGATGGTTGCATCGGACGTGGGACATCTTGCATGTGATCGAAACGTTTTCTGGAGGGTTGTTATAGGAGCAAGGTTCTGCAAAAGGACATGCTACTGACTGACTGACATCAATAAAATAGCTTTGTATAAAAACGGATCTAAAGGGTGAATTTCATTTGCAAAAGGGTGAATTTCAATCTATCTATCTATCTATCTATCTATCTATCTATCTATCTATCTATCTATCTATCTATCTATCTATCTATCTATCTATCTATCTATCTATCTATCTATCTATCTATCTATCTATCTATCTATCTATCTATCTATCTATCTATCTATCTATCTATCTATCTATCTATATCTATCTATCTATCTATCTATCTATCTATCTATCTATCTATCTATCTATCTATCTATCTATCTATCTATCTATCTATCTATCTATCTATCTATCTATCTATCTATCTATCTATCTATCTATCTATCTATCTATCTATCTATCTATCTATCTATCTATCTATCTATCTATCTATCTATCTATCTATCTATCTATCTATCTATCTATCTATCTATCTATCTATCTATCTATCTATCTATCTATCTATCTATCTATCTATCTATCTATCTATCTATCTATCTATCTATCTATCTATCTATCTATCTATCTATCTAATCTATCTATCTATCTATCTATCTATCTATCTATCTATCTATCTATCTATCTATCTATCTATCTATCTATCTATCTATCTATCTATCTATCTATCTATCTATCTATCTATCTATCTATCTATCTATCTATCTATCTATCTATCTATCTATCTATCTGTCTGTCTGTCTGTCTGTCTGTCTGTCTGTCTGTCTGTCTGTCTGTCTGTCTGTCTGTCTGTCTGTCTGTCTGTCTGTCTGTCTGTCTGTCTGTCTGTCTGTCTGTCTGTCTGTCTGTCTGTCTGTCTGTCTGTCTGTCTGTCTGTCTGTCTGTCTGTCTGTCTGTCTGTCTGTCTGTCTGTCTGTCTGTCTGTCTGTCTGTCTGTCTGTCTGTCTGTCTGTCTGTCTATCCATCTATCCGTCTGTCTGTCTGTCTGTCTGTCTGTCTGTCTGTCTGTCTGTCTGTCTGTCTGTCTGTCTGTCTGTCTGTCTGTCTGTCTGCCTGCCTGTCTGCCTGCCTGTCTGTCTGTCTGCCTGCCTGCCTGTCTGTCTGTCTGCCTGTCTGTCTGCCTGCCTGTCTGTCTGTCTGTCTGTCTGTGGGTCGGTCGGTCGGTCTGTCTGTCTGTCTACCTGTCTGTCTGTGTGTTTGTCAGACTATCTGTCTGTTCGTCCGTCTGTCTGTCTAACCTGTCTGTCCGTCCGTCTGTCTAACCTGTCTGTCTGTCCGTCCGTCTGTCTAACCTGTCTGTCTGTCTGTCTGTCCGTCTATCTAACCTGTCCGTCCGTCTGTCGGTCAGTCTATAGGTATGTCTGTCTGTCTGCCTGTCCGTATGCCTGTCTAACCTGTCTTATGTCTGTCTGCCGGCCTACATGTCTACCAGTCTGTCTGTCTGTCCGTCTGTCTGTCTGTCTATAGGTCTACCAATCTGTCTGTATAACTTCAGTATTCTGAGAATTATGTTCCCAGGTACGCCCCAGTGGATCCAGAAATATAACATGCTCTGGTATGACCTTCACCGAGGTCTGGAGACGAGTGGCCGGGAACGAGGTTGTGGGTGGATCCCCTGTCCCATACATCTTCAAGAAAACCGGAAATGCGTAAGTTATTTGCCGGTTTTGCTTTTTGTCTGGCAGGGTGATTGTCTGATTTCCTGGCGGAATTACTGATGTTTTCAATGCTGAATGGCTGCTGTTTCCATGGCCAAATGTCTGTTTTTTTTTTCCTGGCTGAATGGTTGTCTGTTTTCCTGGCAGAATCACTGATTGTTTTCCTGGCTGAATGGCTGTCTGTTTTCCTGGCTGAATTACTGATTGTTTTCAATGTTGAATGGCTGTCAGTTTTCCTGGCTGAATTACTGATTGTTTTCAATGCTGAATGGCTGTCTGTTTTCCTGGCTGAATTACTATTGTTTTCAATGCTGAATGGCTGTCTGTTTTCCTGGCTGAATTACTGATTGTTTTCAATGCTGAATGGCTGTCTGTTTTCCTGGCTGAATTACTAATAGTTTTTCTGGCTGAATGGCTGTCTGTTTTCCTAACTGAATTACTGATTGTTTTCCTGGCTGAATGTCTCTTTGTTTTCCTGGCTGAATTGTGTTCCTGGCTGAAGGACTGTCTGTTTTCCTGGCTGAATGGCTATTTGTTTTCCTGGCTGAATGGCTGTCTGTTTTCCTGGCTGAATTACTGATTATTTCCAAACCGAATGGCTGTCTGTTTTCCTGGCTGAATTACTTATTGTTTTCAATGCTGAATGGCTGTCTGTTTTCCTGGCTGAATTACTAATAGTTTTTCTGGCTGAATGGCTGTCTGTTTTCCTAACTGAATTACTGATTGTTTTCCTGGCTGAATGTCTGTTTGTTTTCCTGGCTGAATTGTGTTCCTGGCTGAATGGCTGTCTGTTTTCCTGGCTGAATGGCTATTTGTTTTCCTGGCTGAAAGTCTGTATGTTTTCCTGGCTGAATGTCTCTTTGTTTTCCTGGCTGAATTGTTTTCCTGGCTGAATAGGTGTTTGTTTTCCTGGCTGAATGGCTGTGTGATTGGCTATCTGGTATGCAAAACTGCTGAACCACACATGAGCTACAGCAGGACTCCACCTGGTCAAGATCCATCTCAGAGACCGGTTCCTAGCCGGGGGTCTGGCTAAAGAAGATAGAATGGCTAAAGAAGATAGAATCGAGACTGGTTCTTAGGCGGGGGCCTGGCTAAAGTAGATAGAATCGAAACAGGTTTCTAGCCGGGGCCTGGCTAAAGTAGATAGAATCGAGACCGGTTTCTAGCCGTGGCCTGGCTAAAGGATATAGAATCGAGACCGGTTTCTAGCCGGGGCCTGGCTAAAGGAGATAGAATCGAGACCGGTTTCTAGCCGGGGCCTGGCTAAAGGAGATAGAATCGACTTTTTCTTTGAAGTCGGACTGCTTCTTTCTAAGAGGCGATGATACAACAGTCTGCACACAAACAAGCCAAATATGTAAAACGGATATGCTCGTAAAAACTCGGTGAACTCGAAGATGAAAAAGTTGCCCTGACTGAGAGGCCGTTTGGTGGACTGACTGGTCTGAGAATCCGCTGAAAGATTACGTGTAAAATATGTATTGTCCATCGTTGTTGTTGTTGTTGTTGTTGCTGCTGCTGCTGCTGCTGCTGCTGTTGTTTTTTAGCGAACGTGACTGCTTGTCCACCAATCGCGCGGCACAAAGCGAGAGTACTCTAGTCCCAAAGATGACCTCCATTGATCTCCGACACGTATGCATTTGAAAATCGTAGGACGAAGACTAAAATCGAACCCACAGCCTCCAGAACACAAGGCAAACTGATTAGCCATTTCCCTTAAAAAAAAAATTTCAACTTAGAAGATACAAGAAATACACGCGTCACAGACTCTCTGGGACTACAAGAGTAAACTTTGCGTCTCCGTGGAATTATGAAAATGTTGTTATTGTTGTCTGGAGGGCTGAAACTGACGAACAGAAAGGGGTGCGATGGAGAGGGCAATTGGGGACCTTGAGCCCCCCCCCCCCTTCCCCATCATATTATTGCAGTTTCTGTTGACCCTGCCTTCTGCACCTCTCACCTCCCCCACCCCACCCCATCATATTTTTGTAGTTCCCTGTTGACCCTGCCTTCGGCACCTTTTACCCCTCCCCCACCCCCATTATATTTTTGCAGTTCCCTGTTGACCTTTATTTCATCACCTCTTTACCTCCCCTTCCCCCACATCCTATTATTGCAGTTCTCTGTTGACCCTGCTTTTGTAAACTCTTCCCCTCCCCCCCCCCTCCCATCATATTACTGCAGTTCCCTGTTGACCCTGCCTTCGGCACCTCTCACCCTCTACAATTATGCTTTCAGCTTCCCGGTGCCTGTGAGTGTCTTCAGTTCAAACACTTGCTTCAAGGTCCCCTGCATGAACAGCGGCGTCGCCAGTCCAGCAGGGCCGACCTGGAGCGACATCAAGCCACACATGAACTACGCTGGCAGCAGCAGTACAGGGCAGACCACAGGTGCTGTCGGTACAGGCCAGACCAAAAGTGCTGTTGGTACAGGCCAGACCACAAGTGCTGTTGGTACAGGGCAGACCCCAAGTGCTGTCGGTACAGGCCAGACCACAAGTGCTGTCGGTACAGGCCAGACCCCAAGTGCACTGTGAGTCCCTCAGGACGGTCAGTGATCCTGGCAAAGCTCTAGCAAATGCTGCTGTGCAAGCAAATAATTTCATTTCTCTAATACGCAATTCATCTAAATGTTCGTCTGTTTCCTTTCCGGCTACTGCCTGGAGCTTTGACCAACCCTGCGAGTCAAAGAGTCAGGGGGAGCATTGTTTCCTTTCCGGCTACTGCCTGGAGCTTTGACCAACCCTGCGAGTCAAAGAGTCAGGGGAAGCATTCTAACAGTGGCAATCTAGATACCCCATTGAGCCTATTAGCAAGGTATAATTATGGCTTCGGAAATGGCTACATTAAGTATTACCCTGATGTATTACCCTGATGTTTTACCCTGGTGTATTACCCTGGTGTATTACCCTGTGTATTACCCTGGTGTATCCTAAGTCCTGAGGGGGTTAAGGGATCTCGTTAAAAATATTATTCCAGTGTCCTTATACCACTGCACGATATAATAATTAGAATGTGGAATAATCGAAAGAGGAAGACAGAAATATTTGTATTTAAAAACAGCGTTATGGCTGCAAATTCTGATTTAAAAACAAGCCGAACAATTTCTGGAGGCTCGAAGATGTGGTGTCACAGAAAAGTTTAAAACTGACAGTATTAAAGAGTTGTCAATCTTAATTTTACTAGTCTGTGTCGTCTCTGCGTTTCCTAAATAATTGAATTCGAATAACTATTCAAAAATTCACCAACTTTATCTGCATATTATTTTCTATGTGAAGGTGAAGGACATAAAGATCGCAGTATAGAATAGGCTACTGGTATAAATAAACATATGTCACTGCTGATTGACATTGTTCCTTTTCTGACCCCTACTTCCGTTCCCTAGTTCTTCTCTCTGTCCGCTTTTCAAAAGACACACTATATTCGATCTATATACTAGAGATAATTTGCAAAACTGTTTTGCCTACGATCATAGCCAAAAAGCAAAAGTAATATGATAAATACGAAACTATAAATGTACGGAGGTTTATTAAACATCTCGACTTATTGTGACCTTTGTGTTCGTAAACGTGATCGATAGAAAACTACATACTTACGAGATATAAATAAACACTTGGCATTACCATTACCCTATATTTTTGTTTATTGCTTCTTCGTGTTTTGTATTCCGTATTCTATTCTGTAACTATTATAGAGATAAGAAAACAGTACATCAGTAAATGGAACAACTATACAGAGAAGATGTGGTTTTCGAGAAGTGTGCAAAGAATTTAATGGGGTGATAGAAAAACAATAAAAGAGGACAGTGGCGCTTACCAGGCAACTACGCCAAGCATGGTCGTGAAGTTAGTCTCTGCGTCCACTGCATGCACATAAGTAGCAGAACAAGCGGCCAAACATGTAGCAGAACAAGCGGCTACACATGTTACAGAACAAGCGGCCACACATGCAGCAGAACTAGCGGCCACACATGTAGCAGAACTAGCGGCCACACATGCAGCAGAACTAGCGGCCACACATACAGCAGAACAAGCGGTCACACAAGCAGCAGAACTAGCGGCCACACATACAGCAGAACAAGCGGTCACACAAGCAGCAGAACTAGCGGCCACACATACAGCAGAACAAGCGGCCACACATGCAGCAGTACAAGCGGCCACACATACAGCAGAACAAGCCGCCACACATACAGCAGAACAAGCGGCCACACATGCAGCAGAACAAGCGGCCACACATACAGCAGAACTAGCGGCCACACATGCAGCAGAACAAGCCGCCACACATACAGCAGAACAAGCGGCCACACATGCAGCAGAACAAGCGGCCACACATACAGCAGAACAAGCCGCCACACATGTAGCAGAACTAGCGGCCACACATGCAGCAGAACTAGCGGCCACACATGCAGCAGAACAAGCCGCCACACATGTAGCAGAACTAGCGGCCACACATACAGCAGAACAAGCGGTCACACATGCAGCAGAACAAGCGGCCACACATACAGCAGAACAAGCGGTCACACATGCAGCAGAACAAGCGGCCACACATACAGCAGAACAAGCGGTCACACATACAGCAGAACAAGCGGTCACACATGCAGCAGAACTAGCGGCCACACATACAGCAGAACTAGCGACCACACAAGCAGCAGAACTAGCGGCCACACATGCAGCAGAACTAGCGGTCACACATACAGCAGAACAAGCGGCCACACATGTAGCAGAACAAGCGGCCACACATGCAGCAGAACTAGCGGCCACACATGTAGCAGAACAAGCGGTCACACATGTAGCAGAACTAGCGGCCACACATGTAGCAGAACAAGCCGCCACACAAGCAGCAGAACAAGCCGCCACACAAGCAGCAGAACAAGCCGCCACACAAGCAGCAGAACAAGGAGCCCCACATACAGAAATCGTATCTCGACTCCATGAACATGTTTTAGAAAATCGCTACAGGTAGTCTGCTCTTGGAATGGGTAGAAAGCACTAGGAAGTCGCAGTTAACCTCCATCACCTGGATCTACACGACAGTGTATTCAGGAATACAAGCTTATAAGCGGACAAGTAATGCGCCAAGGAACATGGGAAGAAGCATGGGCAAAGCTGATGTGATCAACCACGCCCGGGCTTCAGCAGGCGGTGTATCAACGTTGTACGGACTGAGCTGGTGGGTGTTGTCGCTAAGCCCTGGCAGTAAAGCTTGGTGAAGTATATCTATGCCATCTCCGATGTCAGCATAGGAGACACTAATTAACTTCTCATGAGAACAAACAGTAGAGGTACCTTGTGGTGAATTCTGCATCCCAGGTTTCGACAAGCATGGAAATGCCCAATGTGCAGTGTCGTCGATTGTCATAACATAACATATCATAAGAAAACATAAAAACGCTTAACATAATATAACATAAAATAAAATGTGATAACATAACACAAGATTACACAACATAACAAAAACATATTATAAGATAACATAACATAAGATAACATAGCAGTCGTAAACGATTAAAGAAAGTAACCGTAGACAGCGCCAGGTGTTTATCGGACATGTTATGAGGAGGAATGGACTCGAGAATTTCATTAGATCTGGCAAAAGTGATGGCAAAAGAGCAAAAGGAAGGCAACGAGATAAATACCTCAATGGCTTGGTCACATACAAGGTGATACAAGTGCATTGACCTTATCAGTGATCCTGGTGATCGTGTGAGACTGCAGGGCACATGATGATGATGATCAAGATACAGAGGTATATATGAAAGCCTGTCAGTTGTTGCTCGCCCCTCACAAGTGAATTTAGGCCAGAAATCCCAGTCAGTACGGAGTGAGTACGGAATTGGGCCGCGTCAACCGTCCAGTTCGCAGTCTTCCTATTTCAGTCTTTGTTGAACTGCTGTTGCATCTCTGCCCTCACTCCAATATAAAGAGATAAATGTCCTGGTTGCTGATCACAAACATAAAGATCAATATTAAAAACATGTAGGGAAAACTGGAGATCTTTGAAACTGTTCTCTATGCGATTATTTCCTTTGTATACAGTACTACTTGAGAAAAAAATGCAAGGGTACATAGGTTAGCAATACAACAGCAAGAACAATCACATCACGGAACAACATAAGATAACAATACAGAAATCAGAACAGGTATGCTTCGTGCAGAGTGGCATGCTTTGCTGCGGAGGACACGGGTGAGGAGTATTGTCTGGATTTTTTCACCGGGGTACGCCGGTGTTTTGGGAAATGAACAGACGGACAGACTGGCTGGCTCTGCACAACTGGGTGGAATACTGATACATCATAAGGCAGACGTTGTTAGTACCTTGTGGGAGAGCATGTACAGTTCGGAGGAGCAGATGGATCGGCACAGTCTGGTGAGATTGATGCAGCGGAGAGTGACGAGAGGTTCTGGCAGATGCTCGAGGTTCAGAGGAAAGGCACCACGGACGTTTATTCAGAATGCAACTGGCACCATCAGTATCGGAACTCTTCGCTGGCTGTTGAAGATGGGGACGAAGCGCTTATGGGAATGCCCCGAGTGCTGTGATGTCGGTTCTTGAGTCAAATCAAATCAAATCATACCAATACAGAAGCTCATAGAATAGCGTCACAGAACAATATAAGATAACCTACCTAACTTTGGTATAACGGCTAGGTTTATTGACCACTGGAACTATTTATGTATTTGCACGTGCGCTGGCACACTCAAACACATACAGGCCTTTTAACATGTAATACACTTCCCACATATCGTCTCTCGATACACAGTACTCTTACATAACTGCAACGGGTCTGCTCCACTGTACAAGAAAAAAAAAAACCTGTCATTTATGCCAGAAGTACAGTAATATACGGTATTATTTGCTAGAGCTTGATAACTTGTGAAATCTAAACATAATGTTAGATTGTTTAAATATTCACAGAACATTTTCTATCATCATTAAATCAAATCAAAGCAATATTTAAAACAGTGAAGATTATACTTTTCTCTTAAATAATTACACTATACATAAAGTAACAAATATATACTCTGAGAACTCTTTGAAAATATCTCCAAATTATAACCCGGGGAGTTGAACAGGATATTTTGGCAAAAATTACCACTACTGTTACTGCTCACCGGGCCAGCAATGTGGTCCCAACAGCCGGGGTCTTGTAAACACAAGATGCGTTCATTATTATCGTACGGAAAGATATCAAACCGAACGAAAAGGAGATCAGCGAGCTTCCAGATATAACAAACACAACCAACACGTGAACTTTGCGGCAATAGAGCCTTCTTCATCACAGACATAAAACAAACAAAACCATCATCATCAATCAGCAAGTCCTTTACAGAACGTCGATCTCTTCACGGCACGCCTGAAAGTATCCCTTTCCCTAGCCAGCTCTCCGTGTGCTTTCAATGCCAATGCATTTTCAATGTCTTGTATCCATCTTCGCGGTGGTCGACCCCTGCCTCGCCTTCCATCGCCGACTTTTCCAAGCCACCATGACGCTTGATGTGGTCAAAATACTTCAAATTTCCAGACAGGATGCTGTTTATGGGCCAGTTCTTGATGTTCAACTCGTTCAGAATGTCGACGTTTTTCCTTTTCCTGATCCATGGTATTTTAGGAATTTTTCTATAACATTTCAATTCAAAAGCTCCAATTTTTTTCCTCAGTGACTGAGTGAGAGTCCAAGACTCACAACCGTAGGTTGCCACAAGAAAAATGCATGATCTCAAGATTGTTTCTTTAACCAATTTTCTAGTGCTTTGCCATAGGTTCTTCATGCTATTTAATCTCTGCATAACGAAACCACACGAATACACAAAATAAACTTCGTGGGTAGTCTTGGTAACTCAAGTTACCTCGTTGACTTTTTGTTCATCATCTTCATTATCAGCGTCATTGTTTTTGTTTTTGTTTTTTTGGTTAATATATTCTAATTCCAACTGCTTTCTCCAAAACACAGATTGAAGAAAACATTACGAAACGAAATCAAAAACACCAATCATGATGCTTTGCCATATACATGTATACATTCCTGTTTCAAAGAATATAATTGGGAGAAAATTCAAAGGAAATTTTAAAAGAGGGTACTAACCATACACATATATAGACAAAAGAGGTAAGACTGGAAAAACCTGCGATAATAATGAATGGACCTTGTGAATACAAGACAGCGGATATTGAGACCTAATGCAGCTGATCTTAAAGTGCAACAATTAAATCTAATATTGATCAGTTTTGTTATCTCAATACCTGGAAACTTCACATTTCAGTCACCACAATTGTTATCATTATCACCACAACCAACCCTACCAATGCTGTCACCATTTAACCTGTTATTAAGCATAAACGGCTATGGTTAGCCATCTCACACGATCATCAAAAATAACACAGCACGGCTTTCTTGTTATCTCAACTATGTCGTAAATGTATTGAACACATGTGCCTTACCCCCTCGTTCTCTTTCCCTCAAGTTAGCTATCGATAATGTTTAAAGTTTGCTATTTTCTTTTTATAACATATCCAACAAATCTGGATAATAGTCTACTTTTGTTGATGATTTCGCGATGGTAAACGATGTCACAGAGAACTGTTGAAGGTAACATATCCGAATACAACCAACCATTCAGTAGATGCTTGGATTGCTTCCCAACTTCTGAAAATGACATGCAACGAACTGCCATCATCAAGTGCTGCCATCATCAAGTGCTGCCATCATCAAGTGCCGCCATCATCAAGTGCTGCCATCATCAAGTGCTGCCATCATCAAGTGCCGCCATCATCAAGTGCTGCCATCATCAAGTGCCGCCATCATCAAGTGCTGCCATCAAGTGCCGCCATCATCAAGTGCTGCCATCATCAAGTGCTGCCATCATCAAGTGCTGCCATCATATTTCAACTTCTCCTTATGATTAACCCATGAGGGTTCCGGACCTTATTTATTTCGATAAAAAGAAGGGGGGGGGGAGGGGAAGAGGGATAACAGAGCTAAAAAAAAAACACTAAGTGCTGGTACTCACCATAAAGTGTCTAAAACGGATGTGAACTCACCTTAGTGTCTCTGAGAGCTGCGCTGAAAAATAAAAACCTGAAACAAAGGGTACCCGTATTGATTACCGTTGAATACCGCACGGTGTAAATGAAACATCATTGCATATGAACAGTCATGTCGTAAAGGACAAACTCTTGCTGAAATAAGATGTGTTAGGCCGAAAGGCGCAGATATTACAGCTTAGCTGTAAACCACAACACAACATGCTGCCACTATTTCAATGACATACGAAGAAGAAACAGAAACAAATTGAATTGACTGAATCTTCCCGTTGGGATTCCGGTGACCGTTTGTGGCGGAAAACAAGAATAGACCCACTGCTTCCGCCACAAGCATGTCGTAGGAGTCGACTAATAATTAGTCTAATTGGACGTTTCCTTTGAAGTAGGAGTGCATTAGCCTGAGCGGCATGAAAAAATCAGCTGCACACAAATAAGCCAGTAAAACTGATGTACACGCAAAACTCAGGCCCGGACACAAAGCTAAGGTCAAAATGGACGAATAACCAAGACTTCACGCGGAACTTACAGGCGGTAAGCAAAGAAGAAGATTGAATTGTTTCGTTATTTGGTCGTACACCATCCGGAACTTGACAATAGTTGCGTCCCTTCGATATTTTGCGCATAGCAAAAGTTGAACAAGACGACAAGATGCCTTACGCTAACCAGCCAACTGTTTCTATTTCACAGCTTACAGATGAGAACATTAAGTTCATTATAGAAGATACAGATCTCAGGTATATATATATTTCAATATTTCCTGTACACGTGAAAGTGTAATATTGTAAGTTTATTTCTGCGTCTCTTCTGTTGAGTCTTGAAAATTAATTATCAATGTTTTTTTTTTTTACTAAAAATTAAAAATCTTAATTTTCCGGTGTCGTTCCTTGCTGCTAAACTGTGTTTTCTTTTCCCTCTCTTCTCTTCTCTTTTGTTTGTTTTATTTGTTTGAGAGTCTTTTTTTGTGTGCGCCCTCCCCCTTTTCCTCACCCACTTTGCTCTCCAATGGAAAAATTGATATGTTCGAAAGTTTGTTTAATTTTGGATGCGATGTTCGTAAAGTCCTTTTTTGTGCCCCCTTCCCCATTCTGCAAAAAATGTAAATTTTTGAAGCAATTATCCAAATATCACTGTTACAAATGTTGGAAAAATTGAAGCTAAAATGTTAATAAAATGAGTGGCCCTGTCTATCTTCCTTTCCGGCACCTCATCCCTTTCCCGCCCCTGTCCGCCTGCTGTGTGGTTGTGTCCTTTCCTGTTCTCTGGTGTTAGTATACAGGTTCGTAAAGTCCCTTTGTGTCCCCTCCTCCTACATAAACTGCTTGAAATGTAAAATATCCAATGTTTCACCCTTTCACAACATTTGATGCTGACCGAAAGGCAATATAAATAAAATGAGTGGCCCTGTCTATCTTGTCCGTCTCCTCCCTCTCACCCGTTGTCCGCCTGCTATGTTTTCGTGCCCCCTCTTGCCTCTTTGTTTATATGTTCGCAGTCACGCATACACATGCAACATAAATACAAACACGAAGCAACGCTCTGTAAATATTACTGCACAAAGATACGCACACCGCAGACGCTTGTAAATATAACACGTACAATACAGTTGACACACATTTATTGTATACAGACGTTTTACAGACAAATAAACTTATTGAACTTAAAAAAAAAAAAAAAATTACAAAATCCAGTTGTATCCTCAGAGACTATCAAAGTTTCACTATGGCACAAGAGCAGATGACTTAGAGGTACCCTTCAAGGGCATGGAGGCTGGGTAACACAGATTGCAACAAATCCACAAAACCCAGCCTCCCGAGACAAGAACCTCATCTTGTGGAAACTAACATTTAACAACAGTTGACACCAACTGCGGCGTGCCATACAAGTCCCTTCATGGACACGGACACTTTGTCAGCGATGTTGTGCTGTCTTCAGATGGGCAGTTCGCTTTGTCTTCATCCTGGGATAAACTGGTTGAGGGCAAGACCACTCGTCACTTTGTTGGTCATAATGAGAAGGATGTCCTCAGTGTAGCCTTCTCTGCCGACAACCGTCTCTAACTCTAACCTGAACCTAACCCAAACCGTAACCGTATGATTATAGCAGGGCAGTGCACCCTTAGCAACCATATATCATTGCATTCAGGGCAGCAAGCTCTAACTAAAGATGTTGCCTTTTTAAAGATATGATGTAATTCAAACCCAATTAACATATATTTATTATATCAATGACCGTCAATCAGTATTAATGAAACTCCTTATGATATAATGTGTATCGCCCGGCGAGCCTTGCTAGATGTGTATTTTTAAATGCATGCTTTTTTTTAAACGATTCTCTGTGTTATGATGTATTTCTTCTCATTTGTTGAAAAATGCTTTTCTTTTCTGTTGCAGTTGCTTGTGTGTGTGCATGCGTGTGTACATCTGACTGAAAATTCCTTGATTCAATTGTTAAATGTTCAAAGGTTGAAGTCAAGTGGAACATGATCGGTTTCATGTGACTTTGTCTTTCTTTGTGGCATGCCTACCTGAGTAGCTTCGGGAACAGCCTGCAGAGGTCTCTGTAAAAACTACACGTTTCAACCATGAAATGAACCTACCACAACCTTTAGAGTGTGAGGCTAACGGCTTTACCACAAAGACCCCCATATTGTTTGCTGACCAGCTGCCAATCAGCGCCCTTACTGGTTTAAAACATCCCTTTTTCAATCTTTGCGAAATATTCTTTCTCTTTTTTGCTGATGAGCACCTTTCACCATAGTGTCCCCATTTTTTTCACCTTTCACCATAGTGTCCCCATCTTTTTCACCTTTCAGCATAGTGTCCCCATCTTTTTCTCAACCAGTGACTACTTGATATTTTATTTACTTATTAAGCATAATACAAATATGCTTTGTATTTTCCAGTGTTGCCAATTCAGTCAGACGTGTTTGCATAGCAGAAGTCCCCACCATGGGTAAGGACAATTTCTCTTGTTTGCAGACTGACATGTTAGGTCATTTGTTTGTAGACCACAGACTGAAATGTTAGGCCATTTGTTTGAACAGACTGTCAAGTAATGTTAGGTCATTTGTTTGTAGACCACAGACTGTCATGTTAGGTCATTTATTTGTAACCACCTCGACACCAGACCTAGCCTTTCACTCAGCAGACATGGAACTGAATGTTACCAGAACTGTTGGGAAGCAACTAGGAGGCAGTGACCACCGGCCAGTCTTTCTAACTATCGAAAGCCAGTCTGTAAGAGAGAGCAGCACACTGCCAAGGTGGAATTTTAAGAAGGCAGACTGGAAGTTATATCAGCTTCGCACAAATATTCTGCTGGAAAATCTTAACACAGATAACGACGTAGAAAAAGTAGTCCAAGAGTTGAGCAAACACATACTGCAGGCAGCCCTAGAAGCAGTTCCAAGAGGTGCGCGTAAACAATACAAACCGTACTGGAACTGCGATCTGGAGCAACTGCACAACAATATGGAAACAGAAAGAAAACAGGCTGAGACCAGACCTTGTCAAGAGCAGTTTAACAACTACCAACATTCAAAGGCCAAATTTCAAAGAGCCAAACTACAGGCTAGACGGAGAAGCTGGCAGGAAAAGACAAAGTCCCTAAACTTTGAAAGAGACACAAGGAAGTTGTGGAGGTTAATTAAGCAAATTAATGATGAGAATACAGGGAGAAATGGTTATATTGCACTGTGCAAAGAGGGAGCCATCCTAACAAGAAAACAGGCAGCTGACCACTTTGCAGATTCCTTTGCAGAAGACAGCAACATTAATGTCAGCCCAGAGAAACAGCGAGAGGTTCAAGAAAACAAACAACATACAAGACAAAAAGATATAATTCCTGAGGCACTGGTGGCAGCATTTACATCCAGCGAGTTAGAATTAGCAATATCAAAGCTGAGAACGGGAAAATCACCTGGAACTGATGGAATCACCAACGAAATGATCAAGAACCTTGGAACAACTGCCAAAATAAAGCTGCTACAGATCTTTAATCATTGTTGGACCAGTGGCAAAGTTCCTCAAATATGGAGAGAAGCAATCACAATACCTCTGCTTAAACCAGGAAAGGACAGTTCTGATGCCTCCAGCTATAGACCGATCAGTCTTATCAGCTGCCTCTGTAAAACAATGGAACGTATGGTCAACCTTAGACTCCAATGGTACTTGGAAAGTGAAAACATTTTCACGCCGCAGCAGGCAGGATTCAGACAATGCTACTCCACAGAAGACCAGACAACTTACCTTTCACAAGAAATTGAGGATGCCTTCCAGGAAAAGAAGCTAGTGCTAACGGCATGGATAGATCTGAAGAAAGCCTTTGACAAGGTCTGGAAAGAAGGTCTACTGAAGAAACTCAGAGACTGCAGGGTGAATGGGAGTATGTACAAATGGGTCAAAGCATACTTGTATAACAGAAGATCCGGAGTACAGATAGATGGACTTAAGAGCAAGAAAGTTTTGCTGCGCCATGGCGTCCCACAAGGAGGTGTCCTGTCCCCCACACTCTTCCTAGTCTATATCAACGACCTGCTTTCTGAACTACCCCATGTAATTAAAGCTGCAATGTATGCTGATGACTTGGTACTCTGGTGTACAAATGAAAATGCGACAGTGGCCACCAGACTGCTACAAAGAGCCATAGATGCAATGGCTAAATGGGCCGACAAATGGTGTGTCAGCATCAACATAGGCAAATGCAGCACCACTCTCTTTACCCTTTCTCCTAAACAAAAATCAGGCGCCATGCACATAAATGGAGTACCCCTGAGAGAGGATAAGGAGCCCACATACCTCGGCGTAACGTTTGATGATAGATTAACATGGAGAAAACACATCAACAAGGCAGCAACCAAAGCCAGAAGGAGGGTAGCCATTCTGAGAAAACTAAGTGGAACCACATGGGGTGCTAGCGGGAAAATACTTAGAAAAGTTTACCAACAAAGTGTTCGACCACATCTTGAATACGGATCAACAGCATGGAGTTCGGCATCAAAAACCACATTGCAAGAATTAGACAAAGTGCAAAATCAAGCACTCAGAGTTACCACAGGCAGTATGAAATCAACACCTATAGCTGTGATGGAGAAAATGGGGATGACCCAAGCACTAAGTGAACGCAGAGACACCAAGATGCTTTTACAAGCAGAAAAGTTTCTTATTATGCCCAGTCACCCTATGAATGAAAGATTTGAAAATTTAGCTTTGGGACGACTAAAGAGAAGTAGTTTTATCCACCAGGCCAAACGGCTCGGCAGACAAACCACTGATTTACCTGCAACTGATAGATCCTTAAATGCTGTCCCAGAACGGACCCCCTGGAGAGAGGAGTATAAGTTTCCAATACACATCAAGACTAAAGTGAAAGGGGTATTTGACAAGGAAGAACAAAACAGTGTGCAGCGCAAAACAGCCACCCTCAGTTTACTTGATGATGAATACCCGCAGAACCTTTGGGTCCGTGTTTACACAGATGGGTCAGCAGAAAGCGCAGTCAGAAACGGAGGTGCGGGAGTGTACATTGAGTATCCTAATAATACCAGGGATACAGCCAAATTACCAACGGGAAAGCACTGTCACAACTATGATGCAGAAGTTCAAGCCATCAAGATAGCGGTAGAGAAACTACTAAATACAGGGTATTTTTCACAACCAGTGGTATTCCTGACAGATGCAAAAGCAGTACTTCAGTCACTCCAGTCTGGAAAATTACCAAGCATACGGACACTATTATCCGAACTAGGCAACCGCTGTAAATTAGTAATGCAGTGGATACCTTCCCACTGTGGAGTTCTCGGAAACGAAAAAGCTGATAAACTAGCTAAGGAAGGTGCAACTGAAGAACAACCTGACATACCAGTCTCTTATCAACAGAAGAAGAGAATGATCAAATCAATCAGAATGCCACCGAAACTGGCACAAGATGATTACCATATTATGGACAGACCAGAGCAAGTTATTATCCTTCGCCTTAGAACAGGGCACAATAGACTTCGCTCCCACATGTACAACAAATTTAAGATTGGCCAATCGGCCATGTGTACTTGTGGACTGGCACATGAAACAACAGATCACATCCTTCAAGACTGTCCCATATTCAACGCTTTCAGGCAAAACATTTGGCCAAAAGAGACACTTGTGGAAGTCAAACTTTACGGGCCGCTTAGTGAATTACAAAAGACAGTGAAATTCATACAAGAGACGGCTTTGCAGATATAGACAATTTATTTCATGCGAACGAAAGAAGAAGAAGAAGATTTGTTTGTAGACCACAGACTGTCATGTTAGGCCATTTGTTTGAACAGACTGTCAAGTAATGTTAGGTCATTGTTTGTAGACCACAGACTGTCATGTTAGGTCATTTGTTTGTAGACCACAGACTGTCATGTTAGGTCATTTGTTTGTAGACCACAGACTGTCATGTTAGGCCATTTGTTTGAACAGACTGTCAAGTAATGTTAGGTCATTTGTTTGGAAATTAGATAGATATGTTTTACGATAAATGTATGACTCCGCATACGTGTATTTCCTTCTGTTTTCAGCCATTGACTGGGTACAGATAGAGTCCAACTCTACTGTGTTATTTGACGAGTTTATATCTCACAGACTTGGATTAATTCCCTTGACAAGTGAGGAAGTTGTGGAGAAGATGCAGTATTCCAGGGTGAGTTGTCTTCTCTTTAGGTCTGGCATGAAACAACAAACGGTAAAGAACCCATGTGATTTCATTGGTGAATCTGGCAAATTTTGCTGGATCCATGTTTTATATTTGAAACTGTCTGTGAGGTCAGCCTTGAGCCAGCTGAACATTGACCACCAGACTGTTCTTTCACAACCTGTTTGTAAAGACTTAGAAAACCTGGATGCCTGGAGAGAATGGTCATGGAGGTTGCAGTTTCTGAAAAGAGGTGGAGAATGAACTCTGCCAAGCTGAATGAAAACATTTAAGAACTGGCTAGAGAAAGAGAGATTGCAGGCGTGTCGTGAAGAGGGCGATTTTCCGTGAAGGACTTGCTGATTGATTGATTAAGATCTGGAAGCCTAGATCATTTATTTAAAAAAAAAAAATCTCTAGCCTGGTGTGAATCATTATCTTGTGCGTTCATCCAGAGACATAAGTGTGTTCCTTTAGAACATGGCTATGATATGTCAACCAACTTCTGCAGGCATTTGTTGCCTGGGTTAGCCTTTCCATTTAGTTTCAAGCGGATATTGCAGTCTTCTTGTTGTGTGGTCATCTTTGTTTCCAAGTTCACAGGTGGTGACCCCCCTCAGGCTAGTCCAGAACAGTCAGGTGCTGGTCAGCCCTCAAGAGAAGACAGACACAGAACGTGTGCATTCTGTGTCATCCAAGGAGGCTTCTATAAATGCCAATTCATGGTGCTATTTTAGTGGGCTCACTCTAGGAATGTCACATCCTGCTGATGACTGTTTAACCTCATTTCCATCTGTTAAACCTCTCATTTCCATCTGTTAAACCTCTCATTTCCATCTGTTAAACCTCTCATTTCCATCTGTTAAACCTCTCATTTCTCACAAAACTTTTTATGGACCTTTAAGCTGGAAGGCAAGCATCTATCCGCTGTGCTGCTGCAGCTCCCTGGATAGGTGGTGCTGGTACAGAATGCTGAGACTGTTCTTGAGTCAGTCCATGGTTCAAGTAGTTTCAGCTCATCTGTAATAGTTTTCTCTTGTTCTGCTGGTACATACTAATTCACATTTGTTGAGACAGGTTGAGGCAGGTATGCTTCATGCAGACTCGTAGGCAATGTTTCAGAGGTCCCCAATAGTTAGTCTTTTGGATATTTTCACCAAGGAATTCATGTGTGTTGGGAAAGGAAAAGGCAGACGTATTGGCTGATTTTGCACCGTCTATTGGTAAATTGATGAATAACATACTAGAAATTGTCAAGGCCCATTTGGAGGCACACATAGATCATCGCCGTTTAAAAAAGAACGGTGAACAGCAGGAAGTGACCAGTAGATTTGGCCAGCATTCAACACTTGGAGAAAAAAAAACCAGTCAGACTGCTACTGGTATTGTCAGAATTGGAACTCTGTGTTGGCTGCTGAAGATGGGGATGGAGAGGTTATGGGAATGTCTTGATGGCTATGGTGTTGTTCTCAACTCAGCTGGTATTTTCAGATAGACTGCTATGTGTCCACCATTTGATTTTATCATTTCTCATCTTATCATTTTATGTAATGCACTGTGGTAAATTGTTAAAGCATATACGAACAATAAACACATCTTTTATACTTCTTTGGTAATATATTAAATATTTTCAAAGTAAATTAAAAACAAAATATGTACAGCAAGAAATTATTCTTAAATATATAAATAAAAAGCATTAGATGTAAAAGTGTTGAAAGTATGTCAGTAATACTCATTAATTGCCTTCAGACAAGGGTTTGGCATACCAGTATAAAGAAAACTGGCTATTCTTGGCATAAAATGTCTCTATGAAATAAAAAAAGTAGTTGGCAGGTTGTTTTTGGATTTACAGCAACATTGTGATCTCTGCGTCTTTCGGCTCAATGCATCTGGTTTCAGCAACCTCCTAATGAGTTAATAAGTTGCTCTTTAAAACATGCTGTAGGAGAGGGGGGAAGGCGTGGCAGTAGTTGTTCTCTTCTTTCATTCCCAAAATGGGGCATCAGTACCCAGATGAAATAGCACTGAAAGGGTGTGAAATGTGGTGACTAAGTTCCTAAATTGATTGCTTAAGTTACATCTTGAAGCTGATACATCGCAGGGTAGATCTTGCGACGATTGTAGTAGTGTCCTCCTGACTCTGCTTCTTACTTCTGCATCCAGTGACAACCAGTACGCTAGAGTTTATTAATCATATGGGATGCAGCGGTGCTGAATCACACATGATGATGACCTTGAGCTGGGTTCATAATGGTTAAGGCTTATCTCAACCTCCGTGGTCGTCTTAGAAAAAGGCTTCCTACTGTGGCATGGTCAATGTAGTTCAAATCACACCTTTTAATCATAGCATCTGCGGGAGTGTTTAGAGCCAACAGTCTGCATACAAAAATGCCAGATCTGTAAAATGGATGCGCATAAAAAGCGGAGTTCCTGGTACCAGAGTAACTTAATCCCGGAAGTGGGTGAAAAACTGAAATTTTTAGCTGAAGTTTACAAGCAGTGAAGAGAAAAAGAAGAATCTGTCATACATTGAAATGATAATGTTCTGCAGGACTGCAATTGTGAAGAGTTCTGTCCAGACTGCGCTGTGGAGTTCACCCTGGACGTCAAATGTACAGACGACCAGACTCGCCATGTCACCAGCGCTGACCTGATTGCCAGTAATCCAAAGGTTATACCTGTAAGTTGCGGCTTTTTGTTTGTACTTTTGTAGCTTAGGATGTTAGATCTAGACTGTATGTCTAGGGAGTTTAGACCCTGTACATCTAGATCCTCCGCGTCCAAGGAATTTAGACCCTGTACATCTAGATCCTCCGCGTCCAAGGAATTTAGACCCTGTACATCTAGATCCTCCGCATCCAAGGAATTTAGATCCTGTACATCTAGGTAATTTAGATCCTTGACTTATAGGGAAGTTAGGTAAAAGTGAAAATAATTAGCTAAATAATATATATGCCCCAAATATATTTTAGTAAATGTTTATGCTCCTGGTTAGAACAACAAATGATTAGCGAAATAACGTATGTCCCAGTGTATAAGATGAACATTTTGGTAAAAATATAAAATTTAAACTATTGGCTGGGTGAGAAATTAATTGGTAAATAATGTTTATGTCCCTATGAAAAATAGAAAACAGGGAAAAAAAATTACATATTTCCATAGGTAAAAGAGAAACGGTTAATGAATAACATATGTACTACATAGTTTGTACAGAAACGGTTAGGTTAACAGGAAACTATATATATGTGTGTGCGTGTCTGTTGTCAGATTTTCTATTAAGAAAATAGCGAGTGGCCATTTTTCGTTCAGGCTGGTGATGTGCTTCAACAAAAAAAATGAAAAAAAAAAAGAAAAAATTTACTTGTGTAGGGCTGGCTTTTTATGGTTGTTGTTGTTGTTGTTGGCTTCTCTAATGACTGCCTTACGCATTTATATACCTGAGCATTTGTCTTTTGCTGAGACTAATTGTTTGTGTACTAGCTTTCAAATGGGGGATAGTGCCTGCATTTTGTGTGCTTGTGATACAGGAAGGCAGCAGTTATGGGGTAAAGTTGACATTTTGACTTTCAGAATGATTGGACAAATGACCTGTTAGACCCTAAGTCAAGGACCTTTTTCATAACAGTGGCCTATCAGGCATATGAGGCTAGACTGATATTTGTGTGGACAATGAGCACTCGATGGGTGATGTGGTCAACATCACACTGGACACCTTTCTTTCCACAACTTGACCATTTTAGGCTGGGTCCACCAGAGAGCATGTATATTCCTAGCAAGAAGTAACTGTCATTTATTTGAGATATTAGCAACCATAAGTTACAGAGACACCCATAAGTTACAGAGGCAACCATAAGTTACAGGGGCAACCATAAGTTACAGAGGCAACCATAAGTTACAGGGGCAACCATAAGTTACAGAAGCAACCGTAAGTTGCAGAGGCAACCATAAGTTACAGAGGCAACCATAAGTTACAGAGGCAGCAGTAAGTTACTGAGACAACCATAAGTATACGTGAAACAGTTCAATAACATTCACTGTGTGCGCAATTAAAGTGTCCTGTGATGCTTTCGGCTACTTCCTGTGAGTGTGTGTAAACATCATGAGCTCATTGTGGACTATTCCCAAAATACTTTTAATAGTCGGCCGCATTAACGGGTCCTCAGCCAGACAGTCTTGGATGAGGTTCCTCAGAGAGAGGTTGTTGATCAGTCTGTCGTAGGCCTCTCGGGTCGGCATCACAGTGGTCAGGTTTTCTCGGATTGTGAGACCTCTCTTTGACAAGGCCTTGAATGGGAGGGCGGGATTGATTTGCTGCTGCAGCGGTGTGTCATAAACCAAAGGCGTCAGTGTAATCATCTCATATATCAGGGACCCTGCAAAGTAACAGGGGGGGGGGGGGGGGGTGTTGTCATATGTATGTTTAGACTTCTGTTAAATAGTTTGTGTACATATATGTGTTTTTGTGAGTGCATCTGTATATGTTTGGGTATTTGTGAGTGTTTGATTGTGTAATTGTCTGTGGGTATATATATATATTTGTGTACATATGAGTGTATGTGTGATATTGTACATGTGCATGTGTGTGGATTTATGAATGTGTCAGTCAGTTATGTGTATGTATGTACTATGTATATGCATGTATGAGTGTATGTGGGTGTGATATATATATATATATATATATCTTTGAATGTGTGCATTTAACATCCGTGCTTGTGTATATTTTTTTTTGAAGTTGTATTATTTGTATTGTTGTGTGAGCATAACATGCTTTAAAAATAAAACACTATTACTGTGTGAAAGAAAGTTGAGTTTTCACCAAATGTAAAACTGTGCCAAGTTTGCAGCCCTTCAAAAATCAAGTTTGCTTGTTCATTTGGTCTTGCCTAAAGCTCCGAGTATTGAGTGCTGATCACATCTTTTGGTCAATCCCCGCTGCACCATTCTTGTCAAACCATGACAACCTGTTTGTGCTGATTACCATATATAGCTCTGTCATTTCTTGCTTCTCTATACTTTAGGGAGAGAAAAGCTAGGCACAGGAAATTACAGAAAAAATACAGTTGATAAATACCTGATGAAATCATATTTTTAAACGAGTATGTTACCAAGAGCCCAGACAAAAGCCTTTTCCGGGATAAATCTGCCGCCTGCAAGAATTTCTGGAGCATGGTTGACGCTGAGAGATGTGTGGTTCGATTTGGCCCAGGCTGCGGTGTTGTCGACATAGATGGTGCCCTTGTTCTTGGCCAGTTTGACGATAGAAGAATTGATATGCCAGTCGTAAGTTTTGCAGTGTGATGAAATAAACAAGGCAACTGCTTCAATGACCTGTTTATGGGAAACAATCAGAATTGACTAATGGGTAGAATATTATCATCAATTGTTTCCACTTGTGTCATTATGCGTCATGGAGAGGAACAATTAGCAATCCATTGCTTGATGGGCAGCAATGGCTATTATGCTTCAGCGTTAATGTAGTAGCTCTTTAATGTCATCAGTCCATATTCTACTAGGGTGACCTCTTTCTTTCACATCAAATCTTTTTGTGTGTAGTGTCTGCATTGGAAGTTGTTCTGGTTACATCCCCACCAGAGACCAGATTATTTGATCTTCTGTTTTTCATTGAATTTGCTGCATGGTTTGTTCCTACACTCTCTCTGATATAATTTCTAACTTTATCTATGATAGTTAAGTTGGCTGTTTTTCACTGTCGTCTCATTTCACAGATGTTGATTTTACACAGATTAGCCTTTGATACCAAGTCTGGTACTGCTAGCGCAGTGTTGATATTAATATCCTTTTTATAACTATAAATATATTGTAGAATATTATTTACGTTAAAGAGAAAAATGGCAATATAGAAAAATTTAAAAAAAATTTGCCTGTGGATTTAAAAAAGACATATGTTAGTCTACATAGAAAAGCTTGTGGCAGAACCATGAAATACAAACAGAGCTAGTCCGCATGGTAGACACCTAATATGGTAACATAGAGCCAGTAAATCAGACCTTATACAGATAACATCTGATTTAAAGCAAGATGATACCTAGCTTCTTTTTATCTCTTCAAGAAGGTAAAAGAATACTTCCTTCTCTAAGAGAGTTAACAGGCACTAAAACTCTACACCCTCAGAGAATTAACAAACTTTCCTTTCCCAGAGATTTAACAAACAAACACACTTCCCTCTCCCAGGACAACAAAACTAAACTAACTTCCCTCTCCACGAGAATTGACAACTCACCTGCCACACAAAGTGATGTGATAGGTAATGGCCGACTCTAGCTGTTGCTCGGATTAGTTCCTCCAGAGAGTTCACCGAATCCCAGACAATACATAGTACCCCTCTGTCGTTGAAACTTGTCATGTAATCGGGTCGTCGACGAAAATCTGTTGCATGACAGGATCCATATATGTTTTTTTATTTTTTGAAAGAAAGAAAGGGCCCTTTTTGCACCTTTAGGTGCCTGTGGCATGGTGCTTGTTCCATATTTATATAGACACTTCAGCACTCAGTGTTTGAGGCTGTCGGCATCTCACAAGCCTTCTTGACTTCCCAGGACATTTGCTGGTTCCCATTGAGATGTGTAGTAGCTGGCTGGTGCATTTCCTTGTTTAGATTTCTGAGAATTTGGCTGCAGTACTATAATATTTATTATCCAGTTTTGATAAGCCAGGTCTTTAAAATGGATGTGCATGAGGTTTTGGAACAACGGATCAACATCATGGCACACGGATAGTAACTCATTAGTGCTCCATTCTTCTAACTCAAGTCTGAGTCCGAAGGAACTCAGCATAGTGCACAGGCTCTGTAGCACTGGTGAGGCTCCTGAAATATTTTGTGTCGATTTTTAACTCCATATTTTGCACGGGCAGCCCGTTAGGCTGCTCTTTTCAATTTCCATCTGCCAAGGGATTTTTTACATGTGCAACAATGCACATGAGTGTTCGATCTCACCACCCAGAGACCAGGGGGAATTACTAGAAGTCTAAGTGCACATGAAAAAATGCCAGCTCTTACCAGCGTTGTGCAAGTACGGAAAAGGGCTCAAGTCCACAAGTGGACAAACAAGAAGAACTTTCTGTCAGACTTAACAGCCAGTAAACATTGAGAAGAAGATCCCAACTAAATCTGTATCTGCTTTGAGAAAAGTGATCTACAAATGAATTTGAGGGAAGATGTAGAAATTTAATTTATTTACCATTTCATTTGACACGAGGGAAGTGCAACCTTAGGGGTATTCTGAAATATTGAGAATTGCATACAGGAGACAATACATCAGAGACAAGAATAGATATGAAATAGGCAAGGTGACATCTGAGACTGAGCTCAAACTTTGGCTGTCTCTAGGTAAACTAAAGAACCCTTTCCCTGTCGTTAATAGATGGTGCAAATGTTTCTAGGCCCATATTTGTATACCTCCCTGGCTTGACACATTTTCGTCTTTAATCATCATTCTGTTGTGCCAGTTATTTGACATACAGGGCTTGAAGTCTGATTTTACGTTCGCTTAAGCTTGTGCAGTCATTTTTGATATCATAGATGAAATTATTCCTTTGGTCTGTCTCGTCAATGTCTGTTTCATCAACGTCTGTCTCATCAGTGTCTGTCTGAAGGTTTCTCTTGGATATCCTTGTTTCCTCAAACCATTTGTTTCCCATTTCTGAACTTGTCTATCTGCTCGCTTCACCTCAGGATGTGCAGAGCTGTTGATACAAGTGCTATTCCAGACATTTCTGTTATTTGTCACTGTTGTTGTATTTGTCTCATATAATGCTCATCAGTTTTTGCAGGCATTTGTTCTCAAATGCCTTTAACTTTGTTCCATATCTTTATGGATCTCCAGCTTACAGCATTGGTGTATGTTGAAATAACATTAGAAATGAACATTATTAACATAGTTTTTAAACTATGAGTTCCATATTTACTTGGGACTAGGCAGTAGATGACTTGTGTACACTTAACTTAACAACAAGTGTGGAATAGATAACAACATCTTCTACCTGGGACGAGGCGGTAGATGACTTATATAAACCTACCCTTGCCTCTAGCTCCCCCGTGCAGTAGCTCCAGCACAACCTCCTGTCCATGAAAGGATTCCACAGCCGTATAACATCCGGTCAATACATCTCTGGTCTGAACTTTGAGTGGGTTGATGATGAAATCATCCAGCCGTAGACTGCAGATTGTGTTTGCTAGAATGCTTGGTAGGGGCAGGCGGGATGGGGCCTGAGAAATAGAATATTAATTGACTGTGTGTTAACTTCACTTTGTGACGAAGCACTTGGAAGTGGTTGGGGGGTTGTCGTGTTTCATTGACCCCAAATAACTATTTTGTACTTAGACTTTCCATGTCAGACTAGTGAACAGATAGGTTATTTTCCTGGTTTGTTGAAGGTCTGAAATTTTAGCCTCTCACAATTGTAATACCTCTGAGAATCCCTCAGTTGAAATTCACTGCAGTCACTCCATTCCAGCATTTTCTCTCTCTCTCTTGTGGTCAAAGACCATTACTCCTCTACCTCCGTTCTCCCTTTAAACCTTTGTTCCCCTAGCACGAGTATTCACTAGTTACTCTTCATCGATGAACAGGAAATTGTAAACTCACATTTTCAGTGCTTTCCTGATTTATCTGGGCTTCTGGTCTTGCACACATCGTACTGGGGGAACCCCCTGGAATTGCTTCGCATCATTACATGTGTTTAGCTTCATATGCAAGATGCACCAGTGGCATCAAAAGAGCTCTTGACTTCTGAAAAAAATTTACTGAAAAACTTTATTTTTTATCTCCTCATCGTCAGTTTACACTGAGTTTGAGGAGAAACATGTTACCAGCCACGGCAACAGTGGTCCTAAAATCCCATGCTTTTATTGTGAAAGTCTTTTCTTCATGTGAGCAAGTCTCGGCAACAGTGGTCCTAAAATCCCATGCTTTTATTGTGAAAGTCTTTTCTTCATGTGAGCAAGTCACGGCAACAGTGGTCCTAAAATCCCATGCTTTTATTGTGAAAGTCTTTTCTTCATGTGAGCAAGTCTCGGCAACAGTGGTCCTAAAATCCCATGCTTTTATTGTGAAAGTCTTTTCTTCATGTGAGCAAGTCTCGGCAACAGTGGTCCTAAAATCCCATGCTTTTATTGTGAAAGTCTTTTCTTCATGTGAGCAAGTCACGGCAACAGTGGTCCTAAAATCCCATGCTTTTATTGTGAAAGTCTTTTCTTCATGTGAGCAAGTCTCGGCAACAGTGGTCCTAAAATCCCATGCTTTTATTGTGAAAGTCTTTTCTTCATGTGAGCAAGTCTCGGCAACAGTGGTCCTAAAATCCCATGCTTTTATTGTGAAAGTCTTTTCTTCATGTGAGCAAGTCTCGGCAACAGTGGTCCTAAAATCCCATGCTTTTATTGTGAAAGTCTTTTCTTCATGTGAGCAAGTCTCGGCAACAGTGGTCCTAAAATCCCATGCTTTTATTGTGAAAGTCTTTTCTTTCATGTGAGCAAGTCTCGGCAACAGTGGTCCTAAAATCCCATGCTTTTATTGTGAAAGTCTTTTCTTCATGTGAGCAAGTCTCGGCAACAGTGGTCCTAAAATCCCATGCTTTTATTGTGAAAGTCTTTTCTTCATGTGAGCAAGTCTCGGCAACAGTGGTCCTAAAATCCCATGCTTTTATTGTGAAAGTCTTTTCTTCATGTGAGCAAGTCTCGGCAACAGTGGTCCTAAAATCCCATGCTTTTATTGTGAAAGTCTTTTCTTCATGTGAGCAAGTCTCGGCAACAGTGGTCCTAAAATCCCATGCTTTTATTGTGAAAGTCTTTTCTTCATGTGAGCAAGTCTCGGCAACAGTGGTCCTAAAATCCCATGCTTTTATTGTGAAAATCTTTTCTTCATGTGAGCAAGTCTCGGCAACAGTGGTCCTAAAATCCCATGCTTTTTATTGTGAAAGTCTTTTCTTCATGTGAGCAAGTCACGGCAACAGTGGTCCTAAAATCCCATGCTTTTATTGTGAAAGTCTTTTCTTCATGTGAGCAAGTCTTGCTAGTGACACTGGCCGTTGCCATGGGCTGTGAATCCTATGCTGCTTTATGTCGCTGTCTAGAAAGAAGGAAAGTGACAACATTGTAACTCACGTTTTCTATCTCGGTAAGCGGGATGGCTTTTAGAATAACTCTTCGGCATAGGCATACTAAAGGTTGACAGCTGTCCCCGCAGATTTGAACCTCTCGTTTGTTTATGGGGTCAAACCGCCGCAGGCAGCTGTATGATGGCTTCTGTGTGCGCTGGATTGTGGTTGAAATCCATGGGGAATTTATAGGCTGGTGACAGAATCAGTTAAAAGTATACCAAGTGCTGCCTGCACACATTGAATGTGAATATAAATCACAAGGTGTTATTTTGCAGCCCTTAAAATATTGCAAAATTACTAACTACTTATTTATTGCCCCTGCTTTGATGTATGTAGGTAATTAATACTTTATACCCTTGCTTGACCTCAGGTGACCTCAAGATCAAGACCTGAAGCCAGTGAATACGAAGACACAGATGGTAAGTTCTCAAACATTATTTGACGGGGGGGGGGGGGGGGGGGGGGGGATGATTCCAGTTTGAAGGCTTAGATAATTTATCTATCTTCCATTCCATGTTATTTTATGATGTATTGTAAAGACAGACATTGAGTCGGTTGACAAGCCTAGGATAATACGTTAGACTCAGTCTTGTTCTTCGGTGTTTGCCCTGAAAAGGTGTGGTTGGCACATTGTGTTGTGGCTGACAGCTAGGCTGCAATATATGCGCCTTTCAACCTAACACGTCCGATTTCACTGAGTATGTCTATCCGCCATCACTGGCCACAGGAAAAGAAAATGGGCCAAGAGGGATGTTAGAGCTACAGTTTGGTTTATCTTCTCAATAAGTGAGAAAGTAGTCCTGCTAAAGAATGACCCAGTCACTCACAGTGTAACCATTGACCACTTGCCCTGGACACTGTGTTAGCAGTTATTCACAGTTGAGAATTTAAAATGTGCAGAGGGAACATTGCCAGTCTAGGCTAAATCTGTGGCCTGTTTATTTTTGTAAATGCCTGACTGCAAATAGAACAACTTAGAGCCAGTTTGATATAATAATCACCATTGTGTACCTTGCCGACTGGTTTTGGCAAACATGTTTCTTCGCATCCTGAGATCTGCAACAGCATGTATCAGTTAATGTACCGGCACTCATCTTCCATATGTGACGAAAACTGTCAAGAATATTGTCTTGTCGTTTTTTTTTCTTTTTCCCATTCATCATTCCAGTTGTCCCTTATATAATAATAGACTATCCATTTCTCATTTAGAATATACAAGATTGATCAAGAGTTTTATTTGTTTCTTTGTGTTCACATATTTTCTCTCCGTCTTACTCCAGATATTCTAATTGCCAAGTTACGCAAAGGACAGGAGCTGAAAATACGAGCATATGCAAGGAAAGGATTTGCCAAAGAACATGCAAAATGGAATCCAACAGCTGGGGTGTCATTTGAGTACGATCCTGATAATGCTTTACGTCATACTACATATCCTAAACCAGAGGAATGGTATGTTCTGTCTGCCGGCAAAAGTCATTTAAATAATAATGTTAACAATAATATATGTATTATTTTTTTAAATAATTAATTTAATAATTCATTTAAATAATAAATTTGAGTTGGACGTGGGGGTGTTGAAGTACACATAGTGGTGTAGTTAAACTGTACAAGGTGGTGAAGTTAAACTGTACATAGTGGTGTACCAGAAGACGGACGGGTCAACACCTTTCTACAGCTCTCCGTGCTTGTCCTAGAAACAGGTTCCCAACTGGGTAGCCTAGCCTAGCCAACAAAGGGTCGTGACATTTCTATCAAAGTCACAGTGCATTTGCCTGAGAGGTGAGGAAGCAAAAGCCCTAAAATAAAAAAGTATTAATTACAACACAAACTGTGACTAGAAAGCTCAACTGAGGCAATGTACGAGTAGAAGACATGCACACATTCAGCCAACGTTCAGACTTAAGTCTGTAGCAACTGAGTACAAAATCCATCACAGACTGTGACAGGAATACTCAGTGACAACATAGTTTGTGAACAACCGAGGTCAACATGAGCCCAAGAAATGTGTAATAGGAAAATGTGTGGTCACAAAGGTCTATATTACGAAACAAAACAAATAACAAGTTAAATAAATTTGGGGGGAAAAACACCAAAAAATAAATATTGATCACTGCGTGACTAAGAATAGCAAAACACAGTGAAATGATTTTCCTACACAGAAAGGTACAGATAATACAGTGAAGCTGTCAACTTTGATATCATAGATTAATTGCTTAGAAGTCCTTTTTTTTTTTTTTTTTGAATTGGTTTTGTATGATTCAGGTGACTTATTTATCCAATGTAATTTACAAATCTGACATTTTCTTGTTCCATCCACAAATAGGCCTAAAAGTGAATACACAGAGCTTGATGAAGACCAGTGTAAGTTCTCCATTCTTTTTTTCTTCTCCTTCCTGTTTGCTTTGAACACTGTCTTTCTCTTCTTTCATTAAGCTTTCCGTTAATGTGTAGATTGTATTTAGCATTGAATTTTCATAAAATGTGATTTTAGTTTATTGCTTGTGAATATATGTCAGTGGATTGTACATGGCTATTCGAAAAGATGGATTCACTTTCATTCATGTGAGTGAATGAATGAAAGTATCTATCATTTTGAGTAACCCTGTACTTACTGTAAAAGCTTGCACTGCCCAGTGTAGTTCGCGATCAGTTAAAGTCGTCAGAAAATATTTTAGACACATTATAGATGCATCTGTTGTGAGATGTACAGACTAACTAGAGACGTTGTTATTTGTGTGGGTCAGTAGAAAGGATTTTGTGTGTGTGTGTGTTTCACTGTATGTTGATGAAACTACTAAAGCCTGGCAAGATGTGCTAGGCAGTGTATTGTTTGTGTCCACATTATTTGAATTTACGGCACTATAATTTTGTTTTTTTTTTTAACTTTAAAAAAAAAAAATACACATCTATCCCCAGTGGAAGCTCCATTTGACCTCTATGGCAAACCAAACAAGTTCTTCTTCAACTTGGAATCCATTGGGACGCTGAAGCCAGAAACGATTCTCTTCTCCGGCTTGAGTGTGTTGAAGAAGAAGCTCAGTGATCTGCAGACACAGCTCAGCCATGAGATTGGTGCAGACGCCCTGGCCATCTCTTAACTGTTATGTTGTAATGTTACATTTAGATCAACCTTGTTTCTGAATGTTGTTTATGCTGTGTTATCATAATTTACATTACTGCACATTGGGCATTCCCATGCATGCAGCAGCCACCACAGGATACCTCTGTTGACTGTTTCCATCAGTGTGCTTTACTCTGAGGTCATGCAGTCATGTTAGCATCAGAGATTTGTCATTATTCGCCAGCTTAGTCCATATAGAATTGATGTTATCATCTCTCTCCTGCATGCAGTGGTGCAGTACTTGCCAGCTGGTCCATTTGTTCTAACCTTTTACTTCAGCCCACCCAGATGTGTAGACACAATTGTGTAACATTGGCCCTCATTATCATGTCTGTTACTTTCTGAAAACAGCTCTACATCTTTAATCATGTTCCTTCACTGTCAGATTTTGTGCCCCTGTGAATCTCTTGTTTTCCTGTCCAGTTTTAAAGATTATGTGGATTCCATTTGTTTGTTTACAGTATTTGTGTTAAATAAGTCATAGTCATTGTCATGTGACCTGCCAGGCGGCATTCATGGTTCTGCATAGATTGTATATGTGTTCTGGATCAGTTCTGTTGGCAATTGATATTCTTCCTTACCACCATCAGACCCATTGAGATTTATTTCTCTTAGTCTGCCTTTGGCCTCATCTACCCCTGCTCTTTACAATTCATCATCATGATTTTCACTTCCATCATTACATTTCCAGATTTTAGTTCCCCTCTTCTCATTACATGACCAGGTTTTTTTTCGATTTGCCCTTGTCAGTACATAACCAGATGTTTTTCAATTTCCTACTTCTCATTACACTACCAGATTTTTTTCGATTTTCCCCCTTCTCAGTACATGACCAAATAAAACTATTTGACATCAACATCAAGAAACACGTGTTTATTGAACAAAAATGAAACAAAAAATAAAATAAAAATAACCTGCATCATATATGACATGGACCCTTGATTTTTCTTTTGTGAACACAAACTACCTTATGTGAGTTCTGGGGGCCCATTGTGTGACCACAAACTAGCCTGTGTCGGTTCTATGGGCCCATTGTGTGACCACAAACTAGCCTGTGTGGGTTCTGGGGGCCCATTGTGTGACCACAAACTAGCCTGTGTCGGTTCTATGGGCACATTGTGTGACCACAAGCTAGCCTGTGTGGGTTCTATGGGCCCATTGTGTGACCACAAACTAGCCTGTGTGGGTTCTGGGGGCCCATTGTGTGACCACAAACTAGCCTGTGTGGGTTCTGGGGGCCCATTGTGTGACCACAAACTAGCCTGTGTGGGTTCTGGGGGCCCATTGTGTGACCACAAACTAGCCTGTGTGGGTTCTGGGGGCCAATTGTGTGACCACAAACTAGCCTGTGTGGGTTCTATGGGCACATTGTGTGACCACAAACTAGCCTGTGTGGGTTCTATGGGCACATTGTGTGACCACAAACTAGCCTGTGTGGGTTCTATGGGCACATTGTGTGACCACAAACTAGCCTGTGTGGGTTCTATGGGCACATTGTGTTAACACAAACTAGCCTGTGTAGGTTCTATGGGCACATTGTGTTAACACAAACTAGCCTGTGTAGGTTCTATGGGCACATTGTGTTAACACAAACTAGCCTGTGTAGGTTCTATGGGCACATTGTGTTAACACAAAGTAGCCTGTGTGGGTTCTATGGGCACATTGTGTTAACACAAACTAGCCTGTGTAGGTTCTGGGGGCCCATTGTGTGACCACAAACTAGCCTGTGTGGGTTCTATGGGCACATTGTGTGACCACAAACTAGCCTGTGTGGGTTCTATGGGCACATTGTGTGACCACAAACTAGCCTGTGTAGGTTCTATGGGCACATTGTGTTAACACAAACTAGCCTGTGTAGGTTCTATGGGCACATTGTGTTAACACAAACTAGCCTGTGTAGGTTCTATGGGCACATTGTGTTAACACAAACTAGCCTGTGTGGGTTCTATGGGCACATTGTGTTAACACAAACTAGCCTGTGTAGGTTCTGGGGGCCCATTGTGTGAACACAAACTACCCTGTGTAGGTTCTGGGGGCCCATTGTGTGAACACAAACTAGCCTGTGTAGGTTCTGGGGGCCCATTGTGTGACCACAAACTAGCCTGTGTGGGTTCTATGGGCACATTGTGTGACCACAAACTAGCCTGTGTGGGTTCTATGGGCACATTGTGTGACCACAAACTAGCCTGTGTAGGTTCTATGGGCACATTGTGTTAACACAAACTAGCCTGTGTAGGTTCTATGGGCACATTGTGTTAACACAAACTAGCCTGTGTGGGTTCTATGGGCACATTGTGTTAACACAAACTAGCCTGTGTAGGTTCTGGGGGCCCATTGTGTGACCACAAACTAGCCTGTGTGGGTTCTGGGGGCCCATTGTGTGACCACAAACTAGCCTGTGTTGGTTCTGGGGGCCAATTGTGTGACCACAAACTAGCCTGTGTGGGTTCTGGGGGCCAATTGTGAGGGAGAAAAAAGAAGAATAGAGCCACTGCCCCTCTAGCAAGCATGTCATAAAAGCTAGCCTATCAGGGATGTTTGCTTCAAAGTCTCAATACATATACCTAAGAGGTGAGGAAACCAACAGTCTGCCCACAAGCCACATCTGTACATTGGACTGCATGCAAAACTTGGGTTCTGGAACAAGACTAAAGTCTAGAAGTGGATGAACAACCGGGACTTTTCACCAGTGTTTGCAATTGGTTAACGAAGAAGAAGAAAATGAACGCAAGCCTCCATCTGGCAACAGATATTCTCTTCTCTGCCGTCTGCTAGTCTCCTCTCGGTGACGTGTGTGGTGTAGTAACTGTTGTCTCCACTTTTGTTTCATCACACGACATGTTGTTGCTTTAATAAATGAGAGAAGATTCATTCTTACCTCAACACATCTGTTAGTGGCTCCATCATCAGGCAACCACATTTTATTAAATTTGCATTTCAATAAAGATTCTGGAATTGTTGTGATCCAAGTACATGCAATTGAGTTTGAAAAAGGAAAGCAAAGTAAATGGAAACTTTGTGGTGAAAAATGTGGAAAGGACATAATGGGAAGTGTGGTGGATGCCAAAAGGATGTGCTGGCTGAAGGCCTCAGTGTCTATGGGGGATCAGCAGCAGAAACAGAGAACTGTGAGGTGCCAAACGTGATGTTGAGTTAAAAGCTGACATTACAGCACTGGGAATATTCCCACAAGCACCCTGACCCAACTTCAGCAGCTATGCAGAGTTCCAGTTCTGATGGTAGCAGTTTGATTGTTTGTCCATCTTGCCTTTCTTTTGAGTGTTGACCAGATTCCCTGGTCAGTCGCCAGTGCACCACTCTTGGAATAAAAGCCTACATTCATAGCTAATGTGCTACCAGGCAGATAAGGGATGCCAGGTTAATGACTGGCTACAGCAAATGGTGGCATTAGGCTTTAACCATTCACATATGCTAGGTCACATCATTAGAAGGGGTGGCAGCTCCTTCTGCTTACTATCTTTCCAGCTCAGACAGAATCTGATACCCCCATTTTCTGAGGTAGTTAGACCCTAGAGCTCATTATGAAATATTGCTACAGAGAATACCTGAAAATACAAACTGATCAAATGGTATTCGACCTTGACAATGTTAAAGGACTAATGAGAGGGATATAACATCCCAGTAGACCAAGTACAATGTGGAAAGATAACAAAGAAACTTTAACAATATCAGGTGTCTAAAGTCGAGGTGGATAGAAGAGCAAAAACAAGAACTGTATATCTCCCTCGACTCAAAGCGGTAAAAGAAAGTGAAGAAGAAATAACCCTTACTCTGAATTATCTTGTATTTGTTGCTTATGCCAACACTACAATAATATGTGTTAACTGACCTTAGTCAAGTTGAACCTAAATCTGCCCAGGATTGATATTTATCACCTCACAAAATAGTTTAACCTTTTCGGAGTAGGTGGATCAGCTTCATTGCACAAAATTATGCAAAGTGTATATAGCCCGGTGGCTCCATCTCTCTAGCTGGCCATCTGCCCACCTGCCTGGTGAGAGAGTTATACAGAGAGCATGAACTCCGCAGCTCTAGCAATGATCAGCATGGGTCTTTCACAAAATGTCACCTTTAAACCTAGCCACACATTCCAAAAACAAACTGATCTTTTAAACGTAAGACTAATGGCTTGACCATGAAGATGACCACTTGACTGGAGTGATGACCACTTGGCTACAGATGTGACCACTTGACTGTAGAGAGACCATTTGACCATGGTGCTGACCATTTGACCATGAAGATGACCAACCACTTAACTACAGTGATGACCATTTGGCTACAGATATGACCATTTGACTGTGAAGATGACCACTTGACTGTGGAGAGACCATTTGACCATGGAGATGACCACTTGGCTACAGATATGACCACTTAACTGTTGAGAGACCATTTGACCATGGAGATGACCATTTGGCTACAAAGATGATGACACTTGACTGTGGAGATGATCACTTGACTACGGAGATGACCACTTGACTGTGGGGATGATCACTTGACTGGAGATGATCACTTGACTGGAGATGATCACTTGACTATGGAGATGATCACTTGACTGTGGAGATGACCACTTGACTATGGAGATGATCACTTGACTGTGGGGATGACCACTTGACTGTGGGGATGATCACTTGACTGTGGAGATGATCACTTGACTGTGGGGATGATCACTTGACTGTGGAGATGACCACTTGACTATGGAGATGATTACTTGACTATGGAGATGACCACTTGACTATGGAGATGATCACTTGACTGTGGGGATGATCACTTGACTGGAGATGATCACTTGACTGGAGATGATCACTTGACTATGGAGATGATCACTTGACTGTGGGGATGATCACTTGACTGTGGGGATGATCACTTGACTGTGGGGATGATCACTTGACTGTGGGGATGATCACTTGACTGTGGGGATGATCACTTGACTACGGAGATGATCACTTGACTACGGAGATGATCACTTGACTACGGAGATGATCACTTGACTACGGAGATGATCACTTGACTACGGGGATGATCACTTGACTGTGGGGATGATCACTTGACTATGGAGATGATCACTTGACTATGGAGATGATCACTTGACTACGGAGATGATCACTTGACTACGGAGATGATCACTTGACTGTGGGGATGATCACTTGACTGTGGGGATGATCACTTGACTATGGAGATGATCACTTGACTGTGGGGATGATCACTTGACTACGGAGATGATCACTTGACTATAGAGATGATCACTTGACTATGGAGATGATCACTTGACTATGGAGATGATCACTTGACTACGGAGATGATCACTTGACTGTGGAGATGATCACTTGACTGTGGAGATGATCACTTGACTGTGGGGATGATTACTTGACTGTGGGGATGATCACTTGACTATGGAGATGATCACTTGACTGTGGGGATGATTACTTGACTATGGAGATGATCACTTGACTGTGGGGATGATCACTTGACTGTGGGGATGATCACTTGACTATGGAGATGATCACTTGACTGTGGGAATGATTACTTGACTATGGAGATGATCACTTGACTGTGGGGATGATCACTTGACTGTGGGGATGATTACTTGACTATGGAGATGATCACTTGACTATGGAGATGATCACTTGACTGTGGGGATGATCACTTGACTACGGAGATGACCACTTGACTACGGAGATGACCACTTGACTATGGAGATGATCACTTGACTACGGAGATGACCACTTGACTGTGGGGATGATCACTTGACTGTGGGGATGATTACTTGACTATGGAGATGATCACTTGACTGTGGGGATGATCACTTGACTATGGAGATGATCACTTGACTATGGAGATGATCACTTGACTGTGGGGATGATCACTTGACTATGGAGATGATCACTTGACTACGGAGATGACCACTTTATTGCAGATATACCACTTAGAGTGGTAGGAGAGGATAACATTAAATATGCTAATACATTGATAACAGCGCTTATATCTACCTTCATGCAGTCTGAAAAAGGCATTCCTTTGTCAAGCAAGCGAACAGGCTGGCTCCAAACTGCAAGGAACATAGCTGACATTTACTATAAGCTTTCAATGGAAGTGTGGAACTCTATATGGTTTTAAAACGAAGTTAATTTTTGTAATTATAAAGTTACTTCAGTTTGAACACAGTGCTGTAGAAGGTGGAGAATCACTAAAGAAGTGGAAACAAACTTTCATTGCAGAAAAGCTGCATACTCCCCCAGATTAACGGTGTACGTGGCACCGACACTGAAGGGCTTCAATGCTCATGACACTGAGCCAAATGAGCAACATCTAGGTTGCCTGTCTTCTATTGTTGATCTCTATGACGTCTGCACAATATGGAAGGTTGGATGAAGTCATTTCACGCGCACCGTCTGTGTGTTATATGGGGTGTCTGGTTTATGAATCTATGACTTAAACGCGCCCCGAATGAAATGGTGCTCACCCACTGACCCAGTTTTCTTGTTTATATCAGCGGATAAAGACCTGTTGGAACTTTCAGTTTTAATTATGAGTTTCCCCCCGCGGGTTCCGGGGCCCCATTGTGGGGAAAACAAGAATAGACCCACTGCCTCCCCAAAAGCATGTCGTAAGAGTCGACTAATTGGGGAGCTTCCTTTGAAGTCGCAGTGCATCGTCCGGAGAGGCAAGGAACCAACAGTCTGTATTCAAGAGAATGAGATCTGTAAAACTGATGCACACGCAACACTCAGGTTCTGGAGAAGGACTACAGCTCAGTAGTGGACGATCAACCAGAACTTTCTGCCAGAGTGTACAGCTGGTGAACGTGAAGACAGCAAATATAGCAGAGTGGTCTTTCTGACTGATGCTATGTCAGTTCTACAAGCAATTGTTTACCCAAGGACACTCAGTTTGTAGACTTGACGCAACAGCTGATTTACTTAGGCTCTTCAGTAGAACAATCTGTACTGCAGTGGATTCCAGGTCACTGTGGCTTGGAAGGCAATGAAATAGCGGACAGATTGGCCAGAAGCGGCAGTGACATGGTACAACCAAATAGCGACTTAACCCACCAAGAGATGAAAACACTAATACAATCTAGTATCCGAGAAAGGTGGCTGGATACCCACACCAGATTTTCTCCCCAAGACTCACTTCATCGCCTCTCTAGAGAGGGACAGTCTATTATTTTCAGACTAAGGACAGGGCACAACAGATTTTCGTCAACATATGTTCAAATTTTTTCGGTGTAGGAAATACGGAGACGTGTCCCTGCAGCGTGGCACCCGAAAATGCTGAGCATGTGCTCCAACACTGTCAACTGTATGCTGACAACAGAGACGCAATCTGGCCTGTTCCAACCACAATGAAGACAAAACTGTATGGTACACAAGAGGATATGGATTGCACGATAGCTTTCATAAAGGCTACCGGCCTCCTGATATAAGTTTTCTGACAGAAGGATCGAAGAAGAAGATTATGAGTCTTTAAAAAAAAAAAAAAACTTTTAAGTAAGTTTCCCTAGCGACATACTGTGTTGATTTAATTGTAAGATGATAGCATGACTTCGTTTAGATTACACCATTATGATATATCGCTTATCAGTAGAACTACGAGTTTACATCTGGAAACCTCTACGTGGTTTGCTGCATTAATGGCGCTTGCAAGTAAGTGTGTCGCAAGTTACCCTTTACTTCCCGAAACATTTCATGACAAGATCTTCGTCGGGGGAGGGGGGGGGGAGAGATATGGGCTAAGTCTGCCTCAAACACTAAAAGGGGAGGGGGATATGCCTCAAACTCAGATTCTGGAGCTTATATAGATCTTTGTAATAAGGTGGGGGGGGGGGGGGGTTGGAGGGTAAATTTAAATCGAATGGATGAAATATTTAACAGAAGGCAGCAAGCATCGGTTTCCAAGAAGTAGGAACTGTTTATATTCACCTGTTCGGTATTTAATTATCTGCTGCGCTGTCTATGAGAAATGTCCTTAATGCTCTTGTTACAGTGAGAAAAATTCATTAAATTCGCATTCTGCCCTAACTTGAAAAATGCAACCAGGAAAATAAGTAGTAGCAACTCTTGTTACCATAGTACCGCGCTGATTACACAAACAATGATGACGTTACCTCTGTTGCCACACGCGGTGCTAAAGAGTGCTAAGGCATGTCATGGCTTATTTGCGCACTGATGCACACCACGGCCGACTCTATTATATAATACAGAAGGGCGTGATGCACACATTCATCGTCAGACATTGACTCACTTAGATCTGCTATAACTGTGCCGAGGCAAAAATAGATTATTGCGGTCTGAGAAGAACTGTTTTCAGTTACATTCATCATCATCATCACCTTCTTCTTTTCTTCTTGGGGTGGGGGGGGTTCCTGTTCTTCTTTTTTTCTTCTTCTTTTTTTTTCTTCTCCTTCTTCTCTTCGTCTGCTTCTGTGTATTATATTTTCTTCTGCTCCTTTTCTTCAGACGCATGGTCAATAGTTTACATATTTATACTTTCAAATTCTCTATGACACGCCCCCCCCCCCATAGCCTTTGTTTAAACGTCCCCAAATAGATGCCACATTTTCTACATATATTTCCTCATTGTCTTCTTCTTCTTCTTCTTCATCCGAAGATCTAATTGCGTTGTGTCCTTTTACAGTATGGCTGCGATATTTGCGACTTTCGACCGACACATCCGACTTCTACTGGCATTTGTTGACTGGGTTAGAGGTTTGTGTAACACAGTTCCTGGGATTGACGTGCCGTCTCCTTATTGAAGATTGGCTTCGGTGCATCAATGCTGTCTTTAAGAGTTTTTGTAGTGAGGCCCAGGCGCTTTCACAGTACGACTCCCCGTTAACACACGCCCTACTAAGAAAAATGTTTTGACCCCCTCCCCCCCCCCCCCCCAAAAAAAAAAGCAAATATCGCAGCTCTGCTGTAAACAGCCACTGCGCGATAAGATGTTTTTGCTGTTAAATGTGCGCGAGTTCTCCGTGAGAAGATAAAAACAGTCGGCCGTGAATGCACGGAACTATTGCCTACATTTCCCGATTTCCGGTAGACATGAAAACAAACATGGCGACCTCCATTCAAAACGCCACTTTCCTTTTCCACAATTATTCTCTGGGTGAAAGAACCGACAAGGAACAGTCTGTTGTGCTGAATCGTTATTTTAATCATGCGGTGTGCTTTTTAATTATATTCGATTGACATTCACACTACCACTTTATTAAAAAACTGAAAGTAAATTATATTGATCTATTATTAATTTAATTAGCTCCGAACTTCAACCCGATATTATGGCGGCCATAAAATATCCGGCTCTCCTTTGAATCAACCCCCAAAATGGCGGCATGCCACATTCTGGCCATAAAATATCCAAAAATATCCGAACGACGGTGTTCGCGTATATCTAAAATACGGACTTTCTGCAAAGAACAAATCGCGTCAAAACTAGGATTACTTGACAATATGAACATTGCACACGGTAGTAGTAGCAGACAGTAAATACTGACAGTTTCTGCAGACGATAGGAGCAGACAATAATTTTGAGCGTATCTGCAGACGATAAAAGCGACCGTTGACAATTTTGAGACATTACCGACGATACCGACAGCGATATGGCGGGTAGACCGCGCACGGCTCGCATGTATATTAGCAATACTGTTGTTGCCATTGAGGATTTACCAGCGGTAGATGTCAGACCTGCCGACCTGTATGGAAAAATGAGCGATAAACTGGTATGGTGGCAATGGCTCGCTACCCACAGGCTAAAACGTGTTTTCTCTTTTTGCCCTTTTTGTGCCAAAACGCGGGATCACACTTACAGTTTGGAGGAAGTTGCAGGAGATGTGGTAGCATGCGCAAAACGCGGGATTGGGGTGACTAAACTAGGTGCCTGGGGCTCACAAGTACAGGCACATATATTTTTAATAATTGGGGATATTTTATGGCAAGTTGCCAGGAGATGTTTTGGTAGCTATCACTCGTCCGATAACGATGGGGGCGATAACTTGCAAACCTAGATGGCTGCGCGCCGCTACGGGCGCACTCATGATTGCTGCTCAGAGCAGCAGCTACCACATCTCCTGCAACTTCCTCTTATTAGTTTGCTTGTGAGTCCTAGGCACCTAGTTTAGCTCCCCCATCCGCGTAGTGGCGCGGGGATACTCTCGCTGTGAGTTTAATCGTGTTTTGCGCAGGATATTATCGTCTGCTAGAAACGCTCGAAAATTGTCAATGGTCGCTATTATTGTCTGCTACTATCGTCTGCAATGTTGCGTCTCTTGAAATTTTCAAGTAATCCTAGTTTTGCCGCGATTTGTTCCTTGGCAGAAAGTACACATTTTACATATGCCCGAGCCCCGTAAGGATATTTTATGGCTGCCATAATTTTGGGTTGAAGTTCGGAATAGAGCCATTAATTATTATTACACTAACAACTGTTCACTGCCAGCTCATAGTAAAAAGGGCTATCCTCCGAATAACGGTCCCAAATTATCGAGGCCGAAAATATACCCTAACAGGGCTTCAGTCACATGTAAATTGCAGACTTCCGGTGACTGCCACCACCACCGAGAGTAACTCCCGCGCCGAACGCTAAATTAGATGGCACATTTTTAGCCAATCAAATGCAGTCTAATAGTGGCCCATTAATGTTTCTACCAATTATGATAAGCAGACATAATATTTATTGTGGTACACTATTAATTGATAATTGCCTCACAAGTAATAAATAATTATGCAGATTAGAGTGTAAAGAAAACCAAATCTACAAACTGCTTGTGTGGGCAGCTGTCATGTTTGCAAGCAGAACATAACCAATGTCTTGTCTTTGATACAAAAACCTGTCAGTTTGGTGCAAAAATATTGAAATATATTTGAATCCATTAGAACTGATTACAGGGCTAATATAATTTGTTCAACCCTGTCACAAGTCTTACACCAAAAGTGTACTAAAGATATCACAGACAAAGACAAGTATATGTTAGCTGGTCACAGTTACAACTTTATGGCCAATGGGGAACTTCATAATTGCTGCATTCCTGGGCGTGCGAAAACCTGGTAGAACACATTTCACTATCCCTTGTGGAAACATGGAACCTGGCTGAAGCCGGTAGTTGCACATACAATGTTGCTCAAGGCAACACTAGTTGCACATACAATGTTGCTCAAGGCAACAGTAGTTGCACATACAATGTTGCTCAAGGCAACAGTAGTTGCACATACAGTGTTGCTCAAGGCAACAGTAGTTGCACATACAATGTTGCCCAAGGCAACAGTAGTTGCTCATACAATGTTGCTCAAGGCAACAGTAGTTGCTCCTACAATGTTGCTCAAGGCAACAGTAGTTGCTCATACAATATTGCTCAAGGCAACTGTAGTTGCTCATACAATGTTGCTCAAGGCAACAGTAGTTGCACATACAATGTTGCTCAAGGCAACAGTAGTTGCACATACAATGTTGTTCAAGGCAACAGTAGTTGCACATACAATGTTGCTCAAGGCAACAGTAGTTGCTCATACAATGTTGCTCAAGGCAACAGTAGTTGCACATACAATGTTGCTCAAGGCAACAGTAGTTGCACATACAATGTTGTTCAAGGCACTCCCCAGCTCCGTGGTAGCAAACCACTCACCATTTTCTGAATCTGCAGTTCCATATGTTCAGTAAAACTTCGTTAACACAATCTCACTTAAGAAGAACACTTGGTTATCATGAACAGAAAGTTCTGGTTGTTCATCCATAACTTGAACTTTGCATGCGCAGCTATTCTACGGATCTTGATCATTTGTATGCTGACTATTAGTTCCTTACCTGTTGCGACACACTTCATATATTACAGCCTGACTACTCTTGGTTTCCATTACGGGACCAAAAAATTTCCAGACTGACTGACCTGTCATACAACAGTATTTGCTACTACCTGTCCTCTGTTGACTTGGTCACATGTGACTGAGCTACTGTACAACAGTATTTGCTACTACCTGTTCTCTGTTGACTTGGTCACATATGACTGACCTGTCATACAACAGTATTTGCTACTACAACAGTATTGACTGCTACTACCTGTTCTCTGTTGACTTGGACTTCACATGTGACTGACTGCTGACTGTCTGTCCTCTGTTGACAACAGTATTTGCTACTACCTGTTTCTCTGTTGACTTGGTCACATGTGACTGTGACAGTATTTGCTGACTTGGTCACATGTCATACAACAGTATTTGCTACTACCTGTCCTCTGTTGACTTGGTCACATGTGATGACTGACCTGTCATACAACAGTATTTGCTACTACCTGTTCTCTGTTGACTTGGTCACATGTGACTGAGCTGCTGTACAACAGTATTTGCTACTACCTGTCCTCTGTTGACTTGGTCACATGTGACTGACTTGCTGTACAACAGTATTTGCTACTACCTGTCCTCTGTTGACTTGGTCACATGTGACTGAGCTGCTGTACAACAGTATTTGCTACTACCTGTTCTCTGTTGACTTGGTCACATGTGACTGACTTGCTGTACAACAGTATTTGCTACTACCTGTTCTCTGTTGACTTGGTCACATGTGACTGACCTGTCATACAACAGTATTTGCTACTACCTGTTCTCTGTTGACTTGGTCACATGTGACTGACCTGTCATACAACAGTATTTGCTACTACCTGTTCTCTGTTGACTTGGTCACATGTGACTGACCTGTCATACAACAGTATTTGCTACTACCTGTTCTCTGTTGACTTGGTCACATGTGACTGAGCTGCTGTACAACAGTATTTGCTACTACCTGTTCTCTGTTGACTTGGTCACATGTGACTGAGCTGCTGTACAACAGTATTTGCTACTACCTGTTCTCTGTTGACTTGGTCAGATGTGACTGAGCTGCTGTACAACAGCATTTGCTACTACCTGTTCTCTGTTGACTTGGTCACATGTGACTGACTTGCTGTACAACAGTATTTGCTACTACCTGTTCTCTGTTGACTTGGTCACATGTGACTGACCTGTCGTAAACAGAATTTGCTACTACCTGTTCTCTGTTGACTTGGTCAGATGTGACTGACTTGCTGTACAACAGTATTTGCTACTACCTGTTCTCTGTTGACTTGGTCAGATGTGACTGACTTGCTGTACAACAGAATTTGCTACTACCTGTTCTCTGTTGACTTGGTCAGATGTGACTGACTTGCTGTACAACAGTATTTGCTACTACCTGTTCTCTGTTGACTTGGTCACATGTGACTGACTTGCTGTACAACAGTATTTGCTACTACCTGTTCTCTGCTGGTGCGGTCTATTGGTCGGTGTATACCAGACGTTACATCCATATTTTGCCTGTGGCTTCGGGCTTCTGCAACACGCCCTGTTCCAAACATATTGGTGTTACTTTTCGTTTGGATTAAACAAGGCAAAGAGAGAGAGAGAGATCATGCTGCATGAGCAACACATGGTCTCTATAATACTGCCCAGGTGTAGTCCTGTGGAGAGGAGGATATCCATTCCCGCCTTGACAGGATCCCCATGGACTGGAATTGCCATGCCCCAATATATGATCATGTCACATGGTTGTCTGGAAAGACAAAAAGACGCCAATAGTGTTTTGCTTTCCTTATGAACATTGGCAACACATGAGTGAATGGGAAAGTCCAATAACTACATTTATATCATTGTTTCTTCAGTTGACTGTGATATTACCTGGAGCAAGTGTCATTCCTCACCCAGTTCTTGAATGTTTCTCTGATCAGCTGGCCTACAGACTTCACAGATTGCCCTTGTACAGACTGATAGAGATTCCTTTCATTCAAGCATTTGTCAAGAAAGGTTTGAAGCCATTCACGATGCATTTGTTGGGGTGAGGAATGGTTGGGTGGGACAGGCATCTCAGACATCCCAAGGAGTCATATATAATGTTGACTGCCTGTATTTAGCATTGGGGGGGGGGGGGGGGGATTACGATTATGAGCATTCAGTAAATTGAAGACTGCCTTTACTTCCCACAACTTTTTGCGATAGCAAGTCTTATACTGGGTGTATATGAAAGCTTGGGTCAGATTAAACAGTCTGCCCCCATGGGATTGAACTTATGACCTCCAGATGTGGGTTCTGTTGCCCATTGTGGAAAAAACCAGAATAGAACCCCCTCTCCCCCCCCCCCCCCCCCAAGGGTAAAAAAGCATGTCATAAGAGTCCACTAACTGGGGGCTTCCTTCGAAGTCGGAGTGCATTTGACTGAGCGGCCAGGAACAACTAACTGCACACAAATAAACAAATGTACATACAAACTCAGACCCTGGCATGAAGCCAAAGTTTAAATAGACGAACAACCAGGAAGTTCCACCAGAGTTTACAGCTGGTGAACAACCAGGAAGTTCCACCAGAACTTACAGCAGGTGAACAACCAGGAAGTTATGCCAGAGCTTACAGCTGGTGAACAATCAGGAAGTTCTGCCAGAGCTTACAGCTGGTGAACAACCAGGAAGTTATGCCAGAGTTTACAGCTGGTGAACAACCAGGAAGTTATGCCAGAGTTTACAGCTGGTGAACAATCAGGAAGTTCCACCAGAGCTTACAGCTGGTGAACAACCAGGAAGTTCTGTCAGAGCTCACAGCTGGTGAACAACCAGGAAGTTCCACCAGAGCTTACAGCTGGTGAACAACCAGGAAGTTCCGCCAGAGTTTACAGCTGGTGAACAACCAGGAAGTTCCACCAGAGCTTACAGCTGGTGAACAACCAGGAAGTTATGCCAGAGCTTACAGCTGGTGAACTACCAGGAAGTTCTGCCAGAGTTTACAGCTGGTGAACAACCAGGAAGTTCCACCAGAGCTTACAGCTGGTGAACGACCAGGAAGTTCCGCCAGAGCTTACAGCTGGTGAACAAAGAAGAAGAACGAACGAACGAACGAACTTTATTTTCAAAGGGTCACAAATTGGGCACGCAGGCCCGTCTTACATTCGGCCCTTCCAGTCAACCATCTTTCGCACAGCAGTTGTATTTTACTAATAAAGCATGTTATGATCATATGATGTTATGCATATTATGAATATTATAAAGAAGAACCCATGAGCACCAGACAAGTTGACATGTCCCTGCACTATTGGACCCTTTTTTTTTTTGAGGCATATGATGCTAGACTCACATATTTAATAGACCCATGGTCAGTCGAGTGATGTGGTCACTCAAGGAGTGGTGTAGTCACTCAAGGAGTGGTGTGGTCACTCAAGGAGTGGTGTGGTCACTCAAGGAGTGGTGTGGTCACTCAAGGAGTGGTGTGGTCACTCAACGAGTGATATGGGCACTCAACAAGTGTGTAGTCACTCAACGTGTGATGTGGTCACCTAATGAATGTGGTGGTCAGTGTTAGACTTGACTTCCTAGGAAATATCTGGGTACCTGTTCTGTAGCAAAATCAAAATAATTAAATATCATATTTGCATGAAATGTTGTCAATAGCAAAGTGATGCCAGTCTGACAATCCCCTTCTTTGCTGCCCACTTCTAATCATCAGATTATTATCATCATCATCATGTGCTATGCCAAAAAGCAAATGCTGTCATGTTTATCTTAATCACAGAATCTAGAATCACAGATCAGGTCAGTGTTCTTGTATGGGCACATTTCTATAGCTAAACCCTCCTGGTACTTATCTTTTCGGTTTCTTCCTGATCCCTTTTCAAGGAGTCTCATTGGGGAAGTGGTCCAGCTGTTTGCCCTCTCCTTGCTCCCTTTTTGGGGGTCTCAGTGTTTGCCTTGTGCTTGCTCAGAAGGTCAAATTTATTTTACGACTGCATCATTCGTTTTATGAGTATTGCACAGATTTTAGCGGCAACTCTGAGGTACATCACACGAGGTCAGGAGTTTGTGCTTCTTGTGATACTGTTCTGCATAGAGAGACCAAGCCATGTGGGATCAAACCCAGTGCAGTGAAGTCGATCCTTTCAACTTTAATTTTTTTCTCTCTTTCCTTCAATCTTTCCAGTCATTATCATGTTCTCGAGTCCATTTCATTTCATAGCATGTCCATAACACTGACTCTGTGTCAGATTTCACAAACAAAATAACATTAGTTTGCCATGTCAGTTTTCTATATAGTATTTTATTTGCTGACAGCACTTAGCCTGTTTGTGTTCTAGTGTTTGTTGACAGCACTTGCCTGTTTGTGTTCTAGTGTTTGTTGACAGCACTTTGCCTGCTTGTGTTCTAGTGTTTGTTGACAGCACTTGCCTGTTTGTGTTCTAGTGTTTGTTGACAGCACTTAGCCTGTTTGTGTTCTAGTGTTTGTTGACAGCACTTGCCTGTTTGTGTTCTAGTGTTTGTTGACAGCACTTTGCCTGCTTGTGTTCTAGTGTTTGTTGACAGCACTTTGCCTGCTTGTATTCTAGTGTTTGTTGACAGCACCTTGCCTGCTTGTATTCTAGTGTTTGTTGACAGCACCTTGCCTGCTTGTGTTCTAATGTTTGTTGACAGCACTTGCCTGTTTGTGTTCTAGTGTTTGTTGACAGCACCTTGCCTGCTTGTGTTCTAGTGTTTGTTGACAGCACTTTGCCTGCTTGTGTTCTAGTGTTTGTTGACAGCACTTTGCCTGCTTGTGTTCTAGTTTTTGTTGACAGCACTTGCCTGTTTGTGTTCAAATGTTTGACAGTGTGTATTGCTCCCAACAGGAGCTGTCCACATGATGTCTGTGAACACAAAACTGGATACCAGTGATTGTGTGGCAGTGACACCGTCAGGTGAGTACTGCTATAGTGTCATTACATTCTGTGGCAGTTGTCAGACTTTAGGATTTCTGCTTGTTGTTTTTGTGTATGCCGAGGCTCAGCATGTTCCATTCCAGATTATCAATTCTATCTTGTCACGTGTTCCAGTTAAAATACCTTTTTGTTTTGTATATCTGTCCATCCATTCATCTGTCCCACTATCTCTGTAACTATATACTTATGTCTGTGTCTGGCTGTACATTTTTCTTTCTTGTTGTATGTATGTCTACAAAACCTCGTTATTCATTAAAGCCTAAAGATTGTGATGTTGCAATTTTAACATATAAAATCATAATATATAATAATCATTATCTTGTGCCACAACAATAAGTGTAGGCTGTCCTGTTTCACCATCTAAAAGATCACCAGGATCATGGATCAGGACAAAGTGTGACATCATGACTTGTCTAAACATCTTGAAGAAAATTGCCATTGCTTTCTTCTTAGCTGTGACCATACTGGTCATGCGACTGTAGCCGTTGTCATTGTAGTGTGATCACCTGCTTACCATGTGGGGAACTGGAGACAAGAACCAAAGACTGTTTGCTGCTTCCAGCTTTACTCCATCGATATAAAGTTACATATCTGAGATTGTGATATCATCATATTCTAGATAAGTGCTCCTGCTAATATGTTGTTTGTTGACAGAGAACGGTCAAAACATGCACTTCTGTCTGTGCGTTGTCCTTTATATAATTTTCTAAGTTATATTTTGTGTTCATGCAGTTAAAAAGTACAGGCCTAACTACATTTTACAGCTGTTTTCAGATTTGTACAGATTACAGCTTCTTTCTCATTTGTACAAATTATAGCCGCTTTCCCAGTTGTACAGATTACAGCTTCTTTCTCATTTGTACAAATTATAGCCGCTTTCCCAGTTGTACAGATTACAGCTTCTTTCTCATTTGTACAAATTATAGCCGCTTTCCCAGTTGTACAGATTACAGCTTCTTTCTCATTTGTACAAATTATAGCCACTTTCCCAGTTGTACAGATTACAGCTTCTTTCTCATTTGTACAAATTATAGCCGCTTTCCCAGTTGTACAGATTACAGCTTCTTTCTCATTTGTACAAATTATAGCCGCTTTCCCAGTTGTACAGATTACAGCTTTTTTCTCATTTGTACAAATTATAGCCGCTTTCCCAGTTGTACAGATTACAGCGACTTTCCACCTTCTACCGATTACAGCCATTTTCTACCTTCTCAAGATTACAGCAGATTTCCACCTTCTAAAGATTACAGCAGATTTCCACCTTCTAAAGATTACAGCAGATTTCCACCTTATCAAGATTACAACCACTTTCCCCCTTTCAAGATTACAACCACTTCCTCCTTTTCAAGATTACAGCCACTTTCCACCTTTTCAAGATTACAACCACTTTCCACCTTTTGCTGGTTATAGTCAAAACTCCAATGTTTAAAACATCTTGAAGCTGGTGGTTTGATGCAGATTTCAGCGTCCATGATTATCATATTCTTCTATTAGTCTAATATTTTGTGAAAAAAGCTTATACTATTTTCTGTCAGTTGACACTATTGTTTACTGTTTGTGCCCAATATTTTCCTCATAAGAGCTGTATGCTGTGTTCAACCCTTTCTGTTACAAGCCTCAGTCTTGCAGTTAGTCACTCAGTTAGTGGTATGTCAGTGTTGCCAGTGCCGCAGCTCTTTGAATTTGGTGATTTTCCTCTCCTGCAGACGGTTGTGTTTTTTGTATAGTAGGTATTGTTAGTAATGTTCATGATTGATAGATTTTACTGATTTTAGTTATTTGGTGTTAACTTTCAGGATGTCTGTTGCTTCATTTGACCAAAGACACGTATGAACAGTTAGGATTGGAAGCCCGAAAACAAACTTATCATGAGAAAATATCAGACATCTATGGTAAGATTTAGACACACCGGCTGATGTAGTATCAGATAGCTGTGTGCAAAAAATTATTCTATCTCTCTTTCTCTATTAATTATTCTCTCTTTCTCTCTCTCTGTTAACAGATGTATAAATGAAATGATATATGGAAGGAGGGAGATTAGAAAGACCAAATGTTAGATGAGCTTGCATGCTTAGTTTGAAAATAAAGTTTGTTTGTTCATTCTCTCTCTGTCTATCTCTCTATCTATGTATATAAGAGAGAGAAAGAAATAATGAAGGACAATGCAACTTCACTAGTAACTTGAAATTAATAATTTCAGTAAACTGAATATGATAAAATACTATATCATGTTTGATTTCATAAAAATTGTAATAGATACTTGAGTTTATGTTCAATTCTTTCAGTTGTGCAGATAAACCTGCTGGCAGATCACTTCCGGCCAGGTAAGAAGGGCTACGACCGAGTTCTCTGGTGCCTAAAGGACAGATTGGACCTGGCATTTAACTTTCTGGTGGCTTGGGAACCCCATGGTGAGTTGCAACTTTGATATTTCTAGAGACGTTTATAAAAGTGATTTATTTCTATGTAAGACATCTCTCTCAGCCTTGAACCAGTCATATATTAACATTGGTAACAGCTTAAATCCTGAATACTTTCAGCACTGAGTGAAAAACCCTTTTTACATCACTGCTGCATTGGTCATATGATGCTAAAGCCATTTCTTCATAGACCAATCAGCACTGGATATGCGATGTTAAACATCAGCTTGGCCACCTATACCACCCAGAGCATTTCAAGATACTCATGTTTGGCTAGATTAATTTGATATCAGTTATAACAAAAATCTGCTCTATACAGTTTGTAACCAAAGTTCTTTGTGTTATATCATGGCACATGATCTATTATATTACAGATATTGCTATAACCTGTCCGAAGTTTTGGAAAACTTTGACAATTGAGAACATTGCAACAGTGTTCTGTCAATTCTTAGAGCCAATTAATAACACTTTGTTGATGATACTTTGACTGGTGCAGTCGGGCCTTTGACTGGTGCAGTCAGGCCTTTGACTGGTGCAGTCGGGCCTTTGGCTGGTGCAGTCGGGCCTTTGTCTACTGGTGGTATTCGAACAGTTACAAACTGTAATTATAAAAACTAGACAGGGACATGTTGTGTAGATAAAAGTTGGAGAATGCGTGAGAGGGTGAGTCAGGAAGTTTTCTTGTTTGTTATTGTTCCTCTGTCACAAAAAGTGATCTGGGCGTAGAGATGGATTCTGGGTACTTGGATGACTGTAAAAGTCCAATCTTGGTGTGGTATGTTCTCTGAAAGTCTGGCCAGAATGTAGTTATATGACTGGAATAATTAGCATCTTCACCTTGTGTCATTACATTTGCCAAGGCAGACGGAGCACCTCTGGGTACATCAGGAGTGCTATAATAAGAAAAAAAGGATCCTTTTCCACAGCTTTAGGCATATAGGGCTAGACCTATATTTTATAGACCAATCGGCACAAAATGGGTGATTTGGTCAGCATCAAGCCGACCACCTTTACTTCCCAGGACCACACCCGGTGCCCACTCAAGGCTGGGCCAACCTGGAAGCCAGTGCTATAATAATGATTCCTTATTAAAGTTATTTATTGTTATCTCTGTTTGAATCAAGATGACAAGGTTTGCAGCAGTTCTCTGGGTGTCTACTTTGCGGAGAAGTGTCCCAGAGTCGAGAGGGTTGCTCAAGAGAAAACATCACGAGTGTTCACAAGCTTGCCGTGTCCAAAGATTGATGCAGTCCAGCCAGAAGGTTCTGAGGATGGCTGCCATTACCAAGAGGTCTTCGAGTGGCTGGGAGCCGTGGCCTGTGGCATTGACATGTATGTTTGTGGGTGGACTGTGGCATTGACATGTATGTTTGTGGGTGGACTGTGGCATTGACATGTATGTTTGTGGGTGGACTATGGCATTGACATGTATGTTTGTGGGTGGACTGTGGCATTGACATGTATATCTGTATGTTTGTGGGTGGACTGGGAAAGGTGTATGTTTGTGTGTGTGGACTGTGAAAGGTGTACATATGTGTGGGTGGACTGTGGCATTGACATGTATGTTTGTGGGTGGCCTGTGGCATTGACATGTATGTCTGTATGTTTGTGGGTGGACTGGGAAAGGTGTATGTGTGTGTGTGTGGACTGTGAAAGGTGTACATATGTGTGGGTGGACTGAAAGGTGTACATATGTGTGGGTGGACTGACAGGTGTACGTATGTGTGGGTGGACTCTGAAATGTGTGTGTGTGTGGACTGAGAAAGGTGTATGTGTGGACTGTGAAAGGTGTATGTGTGGACTGTGAAAGGTGTACATATATGTGTGGGTGGACTGTGAAAGGTGTTTGTGTATGTGTGGACTGTGAAAGGTGTACATATATGTGTGGGTGGACTGTGAAAGGTGTATGTATGTGGGCGAACTGTAAAGCAGGGTTCGTAGGAAACCTGAAAACTTGTATTTAACCTGGAAATTGTTGCCCTGACCTGGAATTTGACCTTGGAAAAGACATACGGACCTTAATAAACCTGGAATTTGGACCATGGCAATCGTAGAATTGAAGTAAAGCGAACTATCATGGGAAGACCTGCAATTTATGACCGTTTGGCTATTTTTAGCTACCTTCATTTTAAATGTTTACTGTTGTTTCTGGTAGGAGGGCAGTTGATTTTCGGCCATTTTTAGCTGAAAAGGCTTGTTAAGGGCTAGCGAAGGGTGGGCTGTGTTGCAGCCCATGGATACAGCAGATAGCAGCGCATGTCATTGGAGGGGGAGGGAGCAGCCGCCGGCCTTGTGTGGGCATTGTTTCTAGAAACAGGGATTACATTTGGAGATGGTGGGGCTAAGCAAAGTGAAGTAAACTGAATTTCACAGTTTTGTTTTTAGCCCATTTTATCTTTACAGTGTGTTTGGCGATCAACAGAGTAATCCCCCTATAACTTTTCTCTCACCCCCCCCCCCCCCTCTTTTTTTCCACAACACCCATATTTTTTTCTTGTTTACTAAATGTCCTGCACCATAACTGTCTTTTCCTAGTAACTGTCCAGTTATAGTGGACAGGGGTCTGGAGGTGTCAGCATGAGTCTGGTGGATGTTTTCTTTTGATGTGTTATATTTTTTTAGCCACCTTGTCTGTCTTCCTACCTGCTCCACTTTTTGTGCTACCTGTCCCTTACTCTTTGCCTGTCTGTCACTGTCTTCCTCTCTGTTTCTCTCTGTATTTGCCACTCTTCCTCACTCTTGCTTCCTTCTTCCTTCTCTCTTCATCTGTCCATCTCTCTACCTGCATTCCTTCTTTATTTTTTTTCTCCCTCTCTGTCTTTTGCATTCTCTCCCCCACTCCCTCATCATTTCTCCATCCCTCCTCTTTGTCATCTTTTTTTCTCCTTCCCCCGTCTCTTTTTCCCTTCTTTCCTCTATCTTTACCTGACCATCTTTACACTGTCTCTCCCAGTCTACCTCAGCATCTGTCTTCCCCGCCTGCCCCCCCCCTTCTCTCTCTCTCTGCCCTCCCTACCCTCCCCCTTTTAGGTACCAGGTCCAGAACAGACAGGACTTGAATTTGTTCCCCTCTACCACCAAGTCTTTAAAAAAAAAATTGTAAAAATACTATATCTGTGCTGGTATACCCACATATGTGCGCCTTAATGAAGTACCTTGTATTCTCGGTACACCCTTGAACAAGACAAAAATACCTTGTTTCAGTATTACTCTCAGACAACCTTGAAAAAAAAAACTAAGGCTACTTTGAAATGACCATGAAAAGCCTTGAAATTGATTGGTAAATTTGGCTATGAACCCTGGTAAATGTGTATATCTGTGTGTGGGCAGACTGTGGGGGGTGTATATCTGTATGTGTGTGTGCAGACTGTGAATGTGTATGTGTGTGGGCAGACTGTGAATGTGTATGTGTGTGGGCAAACTGTGGGGGTGTATATCTGTATGTGTGTGTGCAGACTGAATGTGTATGTGTGTGGGCAGACTGTGAATGTGTATGTGTGTGGGCAAACTGTGGGGGTGTATATCTGTATGTGTGTGTGCAGACTGTGAATGTGTATGTGTGTGTGCAGACTGTGAATGTGTATGTGTGTGGGCAAACTGTGAAGCTGTATGTATGAGTGTATTGTACAAAGTGACCAGTCACCTGTGAGAGTATTGTACAAAGTGACCAGTCACCTGTGAGAGTATTGTACAAAGTGACCAGTCTCCTGTGAGAGTATTGTACAAAGTGACCAGTCACCTGTGAGAGTATTGTACAAAGTGACCAGTCACCTGTGAGAGTATTGTACAAAGTGACCAGTCTCCTGTGAGAGTATTGTACAAAGTGACCAGTCACCTGTGAGAGTATTGTACAAAGTGACCAGTCACCTGTGAGAGTATTGTACAAAGTGACCAGTCACCTGTGAGAGTATTGTACAAAGTGACCAGTCACCTGTGAGAGTATTGTACAAAGTGACCATCACCTGTGAGAGTATTGTACAAAGTGACCATCACCTGTGAGTTTTGCCTGATGACCAGTCACCCATGAAAGTATCTCACAAAGTGACCAGGCACCTGTCAAAACACAGTGCATATAAGCTTTTCACCTGGTTACCGTAACTTGTCTGCTTGTGTTGTGTGCCACTCTCTGTATTTCTAAACCCAGTTATGATCTTTTTCTTGTCAAGTATTCAGTCAAAATATTGACATTTGGTGACATTTTAGAGAGTCACTCAAAACAGTACACAAACATTGGTCATCATGGATGCGAGATGTTTGGGAAAGCATGTGGTGGTGACCAAAAAGATACAATCAGATTTTCTTTGGGATAAAGAGTGATAAGTCTACCACCACATGGCATGAATAGTGTCCCTTTTCTGAACTCTTCATTGATGAACTGACCAAAGCCTGTGTGTCTGCTATATTCTGTATTACAAATCCTGTTTTGAATTAAAATTTGATGGTACAATTTTGCTTTTCACAGAACTTCTGAAGATACCGGACCAGATAGCTATACATCCACCTTGGCATGTCCCGACCCCAAGTACAATTGTCCTCGTGGATGTGTGTTTCAGGTGTCTGGTTTTATTACTCCCCAAACTGTCCTAAAAGTTTGGAAAACGCTCAGGTAATATAAGGGATAATGATGATGTTTTGTTCTTTTATCAGGTTTTTTCTGCTTGTTCACCCCATCTCGGGGGCTGTGAGATTTGGTAGCACTGTCTTATAGTATGGGAGGAGGGAATGTGGGTTAGCTTTAGTTTCTTCCTCTTCTTTTGTTCACCCGAAATAGAATATTTGTGTCTGCAATGTTGTCTCTAGTATGAATTTCACTGTCTCGTCTAATTCACTTAGCGACCCGTTAAGTTTGGCTTGAACCGATGCCCTAGAAAGGGCAAACTTGGGTTGGCGGTGCCGTAAGACCCTGATAAGGGCCGCTAATCTCCATGTATGTAAACTGGTGGGTTGCGGTTAGAAGCAGCAATGCTGACAGAACAAGAAAATTCATGGCAAAGATGAAGTCACAAAGTAAGAACAATGCTTGGCCCGGCTCTGTATCGTAGTTGGCTAAACCAGGACTGCGTGGTGACCGGGTGACGAACTCCTTGCAGAAAAGCCACATTACCTTCCAGATTTACGGTACCTATCTTGGAATCAAGGCCGAAGGGTTGCGATATCCATAGTACCGAGTCAAAGGGTTAACAACTTATGGTTTCTGGAAATTTAACCCCAAAAAAACAAAAAAAAGAAAACTTCTTCAACACAGGACACAGTGGTGGCAATGAACGACGACAGTAACACACACTGGCCATGATGACACAATAAACAAGAGAAACAACCAACACATGACACCCCAAGAATATAGTTGCAGGGCTGAATGATTCCCCAGTCCCCTGATGATACAATTGTATCTGATCAATATCCTCAGAGAGTACACAGCCTGCCACCCAAGAAAGCTTGCCGACCAGCCTGACTGTGCATGGGTTTGCCGACAGCCTCGTCACTCACAAGCTGGTTGCACACAATTTCTATGTCTGTGGAGATAACATATATAGTTTTCTTTTGTTGCCAGATAATAGATGCTGGTCCTATGTTGCTTCTGTTTCATGATTATTATTCACTCCCATTAAAAAAAATTTTAAAACTAAATTTGTCTTTACTTGTACAGTAGACTTTCATTTTTGAAATTGTTTGAACTCAAGGTAGTCACAAAGTAGATACTGCAGTTTTTATGTTTGCATATTCTTTTCACGGTGTATGAGGTGAAATGATCAGTTCCATTCCTCACTGCCTTTTGTGATTTGTTGCTTTCAAGACTGGCTCAACACCAAGAGTTGTGCTGGACAGGACAAGACATTGGCCAGTTGCAGCCCCAGTGACCACAAAGCTGTCTGGGACACATGGATTTTTGGGCAACTTGATAGCTTCATTATGGCTACTGGCCTCCCCGTATAAGTGTTCTGCCTGAGGATAAGAGAAGAAAAATAAGCATGGAACCCTAGACTACCTTCATAAATGGCAGGTAGCCAAACCTCTGTGCCACTGTGGAGCCTGATTGAAAAGCTGACAGCATAAACATCTGCCTGACAAGAAAACACTGATAGCTGATAGCATAAACACCTGCCTCACAAGAAAACACTGGCATGAACATCTGCCTAACAAGAAAACACTGATAGCTGATAGCATAAACAAACACTGGCATGAAAAACACCTGCCTCACAAGAAAACACTGGCATGAAAAACACCTGCCTCACAAGAAAACACTGACAGGATAAACACCTGCCTCACAAGAAAACACTGGCAGGATAAACACCTGCCTCACAAGAAAACACTGGCAGGATAAACATCTGCCTCACAAGAAAACACTAACAGGATAAACACCTGCCTCACAAGAAAACACTGGCAGGATAAACACCTGCCTCACAAGAAAACACTGGCAGGATAAACACCTGCCTCACAAGAAAACACTGAAAACCTGCCTCACACTGACAGAAAACACTGGCATGAAAAACATAAAAACACCTGCCTCACAAGAAAACACTGGCAGGATAAACACCTGCCTCACAAGAAAACACTGGCAGGATAAACACCTGCCTCACAAGAAAAAGTGACCAGATGCTTGACCAGCCAGTCTCAACCTGAGGGTTCCAAATCACCATCATTTTCTCCCTAGAGTTGACATTGGCTCCCAGGTAATGTAATGGGAAGTAAAGGTGGCTGGTGTGAGACTGACCACATCACCCATCGAGTGCCAACTGGTCTATAAAAGTATGAGATGCACCTTTGACATAAAAAGAGTCCTTTCTGACCTTGAGAAGCTGATGGTGCAGTGGCCAGAGCAGGTGCGAAGTCTTGGGTTTGAACCTACACCAAAGCACATTTTCATACTTGACTAAGTCTGTGAGGTCACTCAGGCTAAAATAGATACAAGAAAATTTCATGGCATGGCACCCATCAAATGGCGACTGGGATATAAAAATGGCTCTAGCACCGTGTGCTAATGGTGTGAAATAAGGACCATGTGCTAATTATGTGAAATAAGGACCATGTGATAATGGTGTGAAATAAGGACCGTGTGCTAATGGTGTGAAATAAGGACCGTGTGATAATGGTGTGAAATAAGGACCTTGTGATAATGGTGTGAAATAAGGACCTTGTGCTAATGGTGTGAAATAAGGACCTTGTGATAATGGTGAAATAAGGACCTTGTGCTAATGGTGTGAAATAAGGACCTTGTGCTAATGGTGTGAAATAAGGACCTTGTGCTAATGGTGTGAAATAAGGACCTTGTGCTAATGGTGTGAAATAAGGACCATGTGCTAATGGTATGAAATAAGGACCTTGTGCTAATGGTATGAAATAAGGACCATGTGCTAATGGTATGAAATAAGGACCTTGTGATAATGGTATGAAATAAGGACCATGTGATAATGGTATGAAATAAGGACCTTGTGCTAATGGTGTAAAATAAGGACCTTGTGCTAATGGTGTGAAATAAGGACCATGTGCTAATGGTGAAATAAGGACCTTGTGCTAATGGTGTGAAATAAGGACCTTGTGCTAATGGTGTGAAATAAGGACCATGTGCTAATGGTATGAAATAAGGACCTTGTGCTAATGGTGTGAAATAAGGACCTTGTGCTAATGGTGTGAAATAAGGACCTTGTGCTAATGGTGTGAAATAAGGACCGTGTGCTAATGGTGTGAAATAAGGACCTTGTGCTAATGGTGAAATAAGGACCTTGTGCTAATGGTGAAATAAGGACCGTGTGATAATGGTGTAAAATAAGGACCGTGTGCTAATGGTGTGAAATAAGGACCTTGTGCTAATGGTGTGAAATAAGGACCATGTGCTAATGGTGAAATAAGGACCTTGTGCTAATGGTGTGAAATAAGGACCTTGTGCTAATGGTGTGAAACAAGGACCTTGTGCTAATGGTGTGAAATAAGGACCGTGTGCTAATGGTGTGAAACAAGGACCTTGTGCTAATGGTGTGAAATAAGGACCTTGTGCTAATGGTGTGAAATAAGGACCTTGTGCTAATGGTGTGAAATAAGGACCTTGTGCTAATGGTGTGAAATAAGAACCTATACTTTACAGGAAAAAAAAAAAAAACATTGTGATTCTTCTGTGAAGGTTTTGTTTTATTGTCTGCCCTGTTGGATTCAGCAGCACATTTTCAGAATGCAACATCACATCAGAAAAATCATATGGCCAATAAAAAGCAGGCATGCAGTATAAAATATAATACATTGAAAGTCACATACGTACAAGTCATGAAAAAATTATATCAGTTTAGTTTTGAAATACCAGTCTAGAAATTACATTTACAAGTTTTAACAGAAAGCTGTGCACTCACTTTTGAATGAAAATCACAAATTCAGTGAATGCAGGTGAACTTAGAATCACTTGTAGAATGTTGTTTTGTTAAAACAGAAATTACTAGAGGGAAAGGTCTCAACATTCAACAGTGGGTTGTGTTCAATCATTCAACAGAGGGGTGTGTTCAATCATTCAACAGAGGGTAGTGTTCAATCATTCAACAGAGGGTTGTGTTCAGATTTTAAACCAAGAGTTGTGTTCAATTATTCAACAGAGGGTTGTGTTCAATCATTCAACAGAGGGTTGTGTTCAGATTTTAAACCAAGAGTTGTGTTCAATCATTCAACAGAGGGTTGTGTTCAATCATTCAACAGAGGGTTGTGTTCAATCATTCAACAGAGGGTTGTGTTCAATCATTCAACAGAGGGTTGTGTTCAATCATTCAACACAGGGTTGTGTTCAGACATTCAACAGAGGGTTGTGTTCAAATATTTATCAGAGGGTTGTGTTCAATCATTCAACCGAGGGTTGTGTATAAACAGTCATCACAGGGTTGTGTTCAATCATTCAACCGAGGGTTGTGTATAAACAGTCATCACAGGGTTGTGTTCAATCATTCAACCGAGGGTTGTGTATAAACAGTCATCACAGGGTTGTGTTCAATCATTCAACAGAGAGTTGTGTTCAAACATTCAACAGGGTGTTGTGTTCAATCATTCAACTGAGGGTTGTGTATAAACAGTCATCACAGGGTTGTGCTCAGACATTCAACAGAGGGTTGTGTTCAAATATTCAACAGAAGGTGATACATATATTACATCTACAGTAATTTAAAATAAAAATCACTCAAAAGAAAAGGAGAGATGTCCTTATAAGACACACATTTAAACAAAAATTAAGAAATACATTTTTAAATAGGTCATGCTGGCAAATGCAAAGCACATACACATTTGAGCAGAAGGTCTTGGTTTGAAAAGAACTAATCTAAAGAGGATGTGTTTATGTGTAAGGTAAAAGCACATATACATGTTCAAGCAGAATACTAGAATAAAGAACCAGCTATGCTCTCACATGAACTAAACACTACTTAAAAGATTGTGAACAAAAGTTTTGTTGAGACAAATCATCTTCACATACGAAATAAACACATAGAGACAAATCATCTTCACATACGAAATAAACACATAGAGACAAATCATCTTCACATACGAAATAAACACATAGAGACAAATCATCTTCACTACGAAATAAACACGCACTAGTTTTCACAGAAGGTCATCCCCTTGTTGGTTCTGAGGCCCCATTGTTAAAACAAGAAAAGAAAAAGACCCAGTTTCCTAACAAGGATGTTGTAAGAGTTGACTAATTAGGTGTGTATCCTTCGAAGTCAGAGGAGAGAGGCTAGCAATCAATATGCGCACAAAACTCAGGTTCTGGAATAAGACTCAAGTCCTGAAGTGGACAAACAACCAGAACTTAATGCCAGAGTTTACAGCCAGTGGACATGAAAAAGTAGGTCATGTTTACCTAGTTATAGGTCATGTTTACCTAGTTATAGGTCATGTTTACCTAGTTATAGGTCATGTTTACCTAGTTATAGGTCATGTTTACCTAGTTATAGGTCATGTTTACCTAGTTATGGTCATGTTACCTAGTTATAGGTCATGTTTACCTAGTTATAGGTCATGTTTACCTAGTTAAAGATCATGTTTACCTAGTTAAAGGTCATGTTTACCTAGTTATAGGTCATGTTTACCTAGTTATAGGTCATGTTTACCTAGTTATAGGTCATGTTTACCTAGTTATAGGTCATGTTTACCTAGTTATAGGTCATGTTTACCTAGTTATAGGTCATATTTACCTAGTTATAGGTCATGTTTAGCTAGTTATAGGTCATGTTTACCTAGTTATAGGTCATGTTTACCTAGTTATGGTCATGTTACCTAGTTATAGGTCATGTTTACCTAGTTATAGGTCATGTTTACCTAGTTATAGGTCATGTTTACCTAGTTATAGGTCATGTTTACCTAGTTATAGGTCATGTTTACCTAGTTATAGGTCATGTTTACCTAGTTATAGGTCATGTTTACCTAGTTATAGGTCATGTTTACCTAGTTATAGGTCATGTTTACCTAGTTATAGGTCATGTTTACCTAGTTATAGGTCATGTTTACCTAGTTATAGGTCATATTTACCTAGTTATAGGTCATGTTTACCTAGTTA